GAACTGGCCAATAATGGGACTCGAATTAGCATACAAATGGCGGGAACTCTTTGCAACAAGCATTTCTGTGCTGCAACAAAGAAATGCACCCTGCAAAGAAAGCTTCAAATTGGCAGGAAATTCTCCCTTGCACTGGGGTTCTCTTTTGCAGCAGAAAACTCCACCGTGCAAAGAAGCTGTAATTTAGCGGGGACAATTTAGCAGTGCCGAAGCACACAAAACAAAAATCACACCCTTTGGGTTGTGACAGGGAGCAGGCGTGTGTACCCAGATCTGTGTGGCTGGGCTGCACTGCACTCTGGACAGGCAGTGGAAGGTGCTGGGAGCCGGGGCTATGCCCTCCCGCCGCTCGCCCAGCCTGGGTGGGGAGGTGTGGGACAGTGCCACCGCACTGCCTCAAACAAGCGGTGCAAAGCAGCGGAAACCACTCCAGCCTCCCCACACCTTCCAGGCAAGCCGTGGCTTCTCCCTCCCCCGCCACAACTGCGTGAGCAGTGGCAGGGCATGGGGGTGAGCGTGAGCACCTGGGGTGCGGCAGGGCCGGCGGCAGAAGCTGTGGGGAACTTTAGGGTGACTGCAGCCCTCCAAAGCCCCTGCTCCGCTGCGCTTTGTGGGGCAGGCAGAGCCAGGGCTGCACTCCAGGTGCCAAGGCCCTGCTGCTGGACTGCGCTCTGCGGGGCAGGCGGAGCCAGGGCTGTGCTCCAGGCTGTGGCTGGGGCTAGCTTCCCAGAGAGCAGCCTGGCCCAGCTTGCCCTACGCAGATCTGGGGGCACACACCAGCTGCAATGCCCTCCCAGACTGGTGGCAAGAGCCCACCCCACCTGGGCAGTTTGTCCCAGACCCAGCCCCAATCCCTCCCTTGCTGTGGGGGCATTGATCTGCATGCCCCCCCATGCCCCTTCCCTCCCCCCTTTGCCCACCACAACAGACTTACCAACTGGAGTTAGCTGTGTCCAGCGCTGCAGACGACTGCTGCCTATATAGATTCTGGCCAAATCTCTGAATTGATGCCGAATCTCTCTGAATCAATTTGGACGCTTCCTATTCAATTCGGACCTTTTAATGGATCTCCCCATTTGATTCAGATTTGCAGATTTGGCTGCCAAATCGGGCTGAATCTCCTCCAAATCAAATCGGTTACTGAAGCTTTGCACAGCCCTAATAAACTGCTAGATTTCCAAGCAGAGCCTTCCTCCCCTCCCGCTCTGTTGGTGCATATACATTGAAAACTTCTAATTTTGCTCCCCTGACTGATATTATCTGTAGTCTACCACTATGATATCTTCTACGTGCTGTGCTTTCACCTCTGGGTTCTTGAATAGTATTGCTGCTCCAGCTGCTTTGCTCTCATTTGTCCCTGACCAAGATGGTCTGCATCTCCAGCTCTTCTCCAGATATTTATAATCCCACTCCCCTGGTATGCTCCATTCTTGTAAGCCGATTGTGTCTGCCTTTGTTCTTTTAACATTGGTTTGACCTGTTTCCATCTTTTCCTTGTTAAGATACTCCTGACATTATTTAAAGCTATGATATGTGCAGTTGTGCTTGTGTTAACCGAGTGCATCTGTCCTTTTAAGGATCATCTGTAGCGCTGCTCTTGGTGGCCGATTCTGCTCCCTCCTCCTCCCCGCTTCACCTGCCTGTTGCACTTGCAAGCTGCCTGATCCCTTTTGTAGCTAAGAAGGCTTCTGTTTTCCCACTTCCCCACTGCTTCCTGCCCTATGTCCTCCCCTGCAGGCTGGAGCCATGAAGAGTTAATGACAGGAAGATGCTCTCTAGCTCTGACTTCGACTCACCTCCCTCTTTATCAGGTTTCTTTTTCCTGACTTTCTCTCCAGGGAGGTGCCCCAGGGCTAACACCCCCTGTGCTGCCACTGTGTCCCAAGTGTCCCTCTGCTGCATGTGCCCTGGGTGGTATATGATGAGTTGTTTGTGCAGTCTGACCCATTTTTCCCTGCTGCTGCTGATCATCCTGGTGTCCTGGGCACACCTGCGCTCCTGGTTTGGGACTCTTAGTGACAACGGTCCAGGGGGCAAGCCTGGGCTGCACCCAGTGTCCTTGGCCTGCAGTGTGCAGTGGGCTGGCACCTAGCCAGGGCCCTTTTCTGGGAAGAGCTGGCACTTCTCGTGGCCATTTCTCATGGTGGGATCTGGGGGTGTGGAGCTGGTGAGGAAGCCACTGGCGGGTGCAGCAGCTGAGGAGGTGGGTGGGACGGGGTGCTGAACACCTGAGGGCCCCTCCTCCAGGGAGGTGTCACCACCAGAGGGGTCAGGGTGGGACGGGGGTTTGGGCAGGCTACCCCTGCTGATGAAAACTGCAGGGTTGTGGCCTGGGTCCTGGAGTACCAAAATGTTGGTCAGCTGCCACACAAAGGGCATGGTCTCGTGGGCACGACCAAAATGATGATTGTGGTCAATCATGGGCAGCCACTGTGCCCAAAAGGCCTTGATCATTACGTGGCACTGCTGTGCCATCCAGGAGTACCCTTGCTCCTGCCTGCCATCCGACAGGGTCTCATAAATATGGGTGTTTGAGTGCCTGCCCTGTGTGAACTGCCTCTGAATCTCTGCACCCTCCCGAGGGCCACAAGGTCACCAATCTCCCCATCTCCTCCTGGCTCAAGTTGGGGTCCTGGATGTCAGGCTCAGGCATGCGCACCTGGGTGGGGCTGGTTCTCAACAGGGAGGGCATGGTGGTGCATCCTGCGCGGGTTCTCTGGGCCCATGTGTCTGTCCCTGTGTGCCTGGCCCCGGACAGTGCTCAGGAGCGCTCAGCAGAGGGGAATGGCCAGAGACTAGGAGCCGCATGGCAGAGGCAACTGTGCCACAGCAAGTGCTAGCCCTGCGGCCAGAGACAGCCAGGCCACAGCCCTAAGGAGACCTCAGGGCTGGGCAGGAGGTGCAGCAGGCTGCAGCCCTTTGCAACATTCACCTATGGCCAAGCAGCAGCTCTAGCTAGAGGACAGAACTGGCAGAGGCAGCTTGGGTCCTGTCCTGGGGGGCCCACAGGGCCTGCAGTGCTCCAAGGTCCTGGCGTGTGTGCACAGAATGGCCACAGGCTTTTATAGCCTGCAGCTAGGGGCTGCCACAGAGCATCCCAGTCCTGGGCCAGGAGACGCACCCAGCCAGGAGCCCTGGGGTTGGACTCAGGGCAGCATCCTAGTGGCTAGGCAGACCCAGCACTGAAGTTAGTGCTGGGTCATGTCTACACGTGTGTTACTGTGTTTTAACTAATCATGCCTAAATTTTATTCCTGCATTTTCAGGTACCAAATTTAGTCACAATTAGCCATTTTCACTGTGCAGTAAGGGTACTCATGTGTAGATACACACCTGTACTGTGCAGTAAATTAGGCTAAGGTGCAGTAAAGCATCTTGTGTAGACGCGCCCACTATCGTCTTTTCTCTCCACTTTTCCACCTTTATCCACTCTCCTTCTGTCTTTAGTCCTTCATTTTCACTCTTCATATCTCTTTCCACCTCTTGATTATCAGTCACCACTGCCATTGTTTTGGGCTTTGGGTTTTCCTCCTCCACTCCTACCACTCTGACACTTATTCAGTCTTTCTCTGCCCTTAAAGCATTGTTCAGACTTTCTGCTGATCACTCAGTCTTAGCCAAAAGGCCGAGATGCTGATGGGAACCTACCACAAGGATAGGTTAGTGCAGAATAAGACATCAGCACACTGATGAGAACCTGACATAAAGCTAGGTTAGTACAGCCTATCTGAATAAGATAAATTCTCATTATGCTCAGTCCCCCTCAGTGCTGACTTGTTTTGCACTCATAGCGAACCACCACATCAAATACATTTTGACTTCCTCTTCACTCCCACAGCTGAGCTGTCCCTTTCTTTCCCATGTCCAATGATTCTGATTTCTTCACCAGTCTTAAAGTCTGGCAAACATCACTAAACATCAATGTAGATGAGAGTCTCTCTCGGTCTGTCACATGTGACCAGTGTGACCTCATCCTCCATGGGGTGGATCTGGATCAGGCAGCTGTGCACCTCATCTGCGTATGCATTTTTGGAGGATCCCAGGTCTCATGAGCAAGAACAAGAAGTTCCAGTCACAGATGTGGGGGAGGGGGGTAATTAGCACCTGGATCTTTTTTGGCAGGTATCTGGAGTACACACACATACTGAGTTGTGCTGGGCTTTGGGGGTCACCACAGCTTGAAGGTGCTGTTGACTCTGCTGGCTCCCCAGCCCAGTGAACTATATGATAAATCATGAGCTTTTTGGCTGTGGGCTAATATCATGCCCAGGTTGTACTATGTATAAATAGGTACAAAAATGCTCCCCAAAAGTGAATTTATGGACTCTCTGTGCTGAAATGTATAGCAGTTTGCAACAAGTTAAAAATGATCAATTTTGGATGAACTAAGTCTGTAGGTACCTACAGTGATTTGCATATATGGGCGTGTTTAGTTTAAAGTCAGTGCTTTCAATCCCTTATATTTCAAATTAACAAGGTTTCCTATATAAAGGGTCTCCTGCTCCACCCTCTGATTGTCCTCTGCAGCTTCTGCCCCCCCTTCCCCCACCCCCACTACTTCTCCCCTGTCCTGTCCTGTCACATGCAACTCAGGGCCCAAGCAGCGTATGAAAGTAAGGCAGGCGAGGGGAGATGGGGCAGAGGCAGAGACTGCAGGGAGCAGGGGGGAAGGGGAGAGTAAGAGGGAGAGACAAAGACTATGGGAAACTGGGGGTGGGGACGTGTTGGTGGCAGGGGGAATGGCAGGAAGTTTGCAGGGGGAAGAAGTGGGGGGAGCAGAGAGCAAGGGGGCCATCTGACCCTTCCCAACCACATGACACCCCCACCCACTGTTTTCCCTGCTGTAGCAAGTGGGAAGGGGATGAACTCAAGAAAACCCTCTGATAATTAGATTCTTTACCTGGAAAATTGTAGCAAATGTATACATTTTCTGTATATAGAATCTAATTATTGTGGAGTCATCTTAAATTCAGGGTCATCTTAGATTAGAGTAACTACGGTAGCTGACTCAGATTTGGATCTGATTTAACTGACACCATACAATGAAATATTCATTCTTCACTGACAGTACCAGAGTGACATTGTTGCTTTCCTCACACCTTCATGTACTGTTATTACAAATATCATCTCTGGGATTCTGTACTTGTCCTTCAAACACACATTTCTCTATTTTAGGCTCTCAAGTATCTGGATTACATATTTACGGGGGTCTTTACTTTTGAAATGGTGATAAAGGTAAGAATCTCTCCATGTGTAATTGTTCAATATTTCAGATTTACTGTGATACATTTCCAGGAATTTGGAGCAAAGGATGTGAGCAGAAGAGAAATGCAATTGATGCTCATAATAAAGAATAAGAAGCAGTGTCTATCTCAAAAATAGACAGTACACGGGCATATGCCATACTAGCAACTGGCTTTAATTGTTATATTGTTCTCCAGTATATCAGTTACGGTTATGAAGAAAATCTCAAAAATGTAAATGAAGGGCAACATAGAAATGTGTGCGTAGATCCAGAACTGTCTGGACTGGTAGTTCTGACAAATATAACTTGTCCCCTTCGTGTCAGAGAGCGGCTGATTCAGAGTTCCTTTTATGACAGCTGGAATGTCAGCATCGTTAACTATTCCTTCTCTCACAGAAGAACAGAGGGAGGGAGTCATCTGTCTGCACCATGTTTTGAGTAATGTCTTGTTTTTATGTCACTAACAATTTAAAGAAATCATTGTGAATGGGGAACCAAATTCAAAAAGCCTTTAGGTACCAAATAGCATGCACAGTTGTACCTTGAATCTCTGAACAGTCTCCTGTGACTGACTGAATCATTTTACTCATTCACATGGGTTGGAGATTATTTTGTGAACTGAGCATGAAAGTACATCACAGTCTTTTTCCCCCTAATTTTAACTTTCACGAGCAATATCTTTTTATTTCTTACCTGGCATTTCTACATTAACCTGACTTCATTTAATTAAGGGCAGGACTGTGCCGCGTAGACACTGCTGACATAACCCATATAGTGGGGCACCTCTCTGCTTCTGCAGGAGCTCCAGAAGACATTATGTTCCAGAATGAATGTCTTAGGACATCTAAACTTAATTCCTAGTAATAAAGCTAATGAATAGTAGCCTAAAGAATGCAGCCTCAAAAAAACCCCCAGACATGTATTTGCCTGCCTGTTGGACGTAAGGAGGATTTAAAAGTGTATAAGGTGAGCATCTCTTGGCTGGCCAGATTTGAAATCTTTGGCTGGCCAGATTTGAAATCTTTGGGAGTCTATAGAAGAGCAGATACAAGCTTTTGTGAGCATCTTCAGGCCCAATTCCATATATTTCTTAGCAGAAGTATGAGTAAAAAGAAAAGAAGCCTCTTTCACAGAAATCAGCCAGGCTATTATCTAGTACTCTGTTTTTCAGCAGACACTACTAAGTGGGTATTTTATCTTCATTAGATGTTGCATTTGGTTGTTGGGCCTTGCAGGTCTCAGTTTTTTTTCAAATACTTGTTCATTTTTCTTCATCTTATCCTCTTTTGCTGTTTGTTAATTCCCATTAATCCTACTGGGCTGGTGTTGAATAAAAGCATCACAGTTCTTTTACATGTTGACTGAAGTTCTCATAAGTATGTGCAAGCTAGTCTGAAGATCCCCTTTTAGGTGTTAATATTCTTGTCTAGAATGATTCTAATTAAAGTCTATTGGCTTAAGCTTTGGGTTTGGTAGAGCTCTCTCTCTGCCTATTATAGCAAAGTAGTTTGTCTCCTGCAGAGCTGCCTCTATGGCTATGTTTTCATTTAATTTTATTCTGTGTATTTGGTAATGCACAAGAACATCACAATATAGTATACAGGTATTAAACGATGTGCAAGTAAACAGCACAGGCAAATGTTTATTTATGAGAAACTTAAGGGAACAAAAGTGCTCCATTCTCAGTGTAATCTCATTATTCATTGTACCCAACATGAACTAGTTTCCTCCCCTCCCCACCAGTAAGAAAAAGCGAGGACTTTGAATGTGAAGGGGTGTTTTAAGTTATGATTAAAAATTATGCAGTGCAGTGACAAAGCTGTGTGTAGGAAGCTTACCTACTATCTGCCCACACTGCTTATGCCTTTAGACAACATCATTCACTTCTGAAGTACTAACTTCTCTCTCTGAATTACAGAAACAAACCTCCCTTTCCTGCACTAATAAGAAGAAAGACATTGCTATAGTGTAACATTGAAAGGGGGAGGTTGGAAGGATCTAAATCATGTGATCCAGGACATAGATTCGTATCATTGTATGTACTGTATATTGCTGCTAAACATCTCCAATGGAATCAGCTCTCACAATTTTATATTTGGTGTTTTGATCTGTTCCCTCCAAAGATGATTGACTTGGGTCTGCTGCTTCACCCTGGCTCCTATTTCCGTGACCTATGGAACATCTTGGACTTTATTGTGGTCAGTGGGGCCTTGGTGGCATTTGCCTTCTCGTAAGTACATTTTCTTTAAAACCCAGGTTTCTCAGAAAAGAAAGAAGAGGGTAGCCACTGAACTAGAGTCATATAAAGCTCAGGATTTGTGGTTCATAAATGGTTCCTGGTTTCTGCTGACTCAGTTTTTTATTTTAAGTTTCGTGGGTGACCAAACTAAAACTTTAAAATGAAACTTCCAATTTCTTACTATTTTATCCCTTTAAAATTGGGGAGAAGAATGTTCATAAACTAGCCTAACTTTTCAGTATTATAGACTCCATGGAACACTTGACCCTGATTGATTTTGTTTCCACTTTCTTCTCAGCCAAAATTTGGCCATGGTTTGAGATCTAATAACAAACCTTTCCCATGTTCTAAGGCCTCCTCATAAAAGTTCTTGCCATTTTTTCAGTCATGCTTTAAAGTTAATCTTATTGAGGAAAAATAATCAAAGGAGACTGAGCCACTTAAGAAAGTATACGTTTTTTCACAAAATAATTGCATATATTTTAAATGTTCATATGGAAACTTCAGATTTCATTGCATACACCTGTTTTATTATATACACCATGGCTTTACCCTAAAGATCAGCTAATGTTTTATCAAACCTTAAAAACAATATTTTTAGAATCACACTGCTACTTTGCTTCATGCATTTTCTGTATTTCTCTCTCATACTTTGTGATTAAAGATGTCTGCATGACAACAATATCTTGGTTTCTGCCGAGTTCCTCTTCTCTTGCTGCTTGTTCACTATCTCCAACCATTATCCTCTATTTATGATATCAAAATAATTTCCCAAACCACCTACTGTACTCTTGCAGAGAATTTTGATCTCAGGTAGGGAATGAGCTATAGACATGTATCAATTATTAAAGTCAAGAATCCTTTTTTTATTCAACTATCCCCATTAGGAGAGATTATAGGAAGAAAAATACAAACACTCACAATACAATCTGATTGCAGGAGGAGTCCAAGAGAAAAGGTTTCCCCCTTTTTAATATTGTGAAATTGTATTATGAGGGTTTTCAAGAAATGACCTAGATACAGGTTATTTGATTGACAAACCCAATTTAATATTAAATTAGCCTTGAAAAAATACCATGAGCATTAATCAATTTGTTTCCAAGATCCTTGCATCCAATCATGATGATTAGCAATAATTAAGAAACTTATTCAAGTATTTTACTTGCCTATCAAAATGTGCGTTCCTTCTTATCAACTGGGTAAATGGAATTGTGCAAAAGGGACTTGTATGGTGCAGAAGTGTCATTGTTTTTAAACAAACGGCCAGATTCACTGATAAGTTGGTGACATAAAACAAACATAAACTTAGCATAACCAACCAATCAGGGAAGCATCCTGGTTGCTTTTCATCCCTGGAGCTATATAAAGTTGCCAGAGCCTTTTTATGAACCTGGTTCAGAATATTTCCCAGTTTTTTCCTTCTTCTGTAGTGTCAGAATTCCTTCCATGTTGTGTGCAGGCCTGTGTTTTAGATCTTCTATTGTAGTTCAGCAGCTGCTGCTAGAAGAAAAAAAAGTCCAAGGTGATTTATTTTCAGCCATGGAGTCAAGTAACATAGGAGTACAGAGTTTATATCAGGGGCAGGCAATTATTTGGGCCTGTGGGCCACATAGGCAGTGTATCATAGAATCCCCCACCCTTGGAATAGCCTGCAGCCTGTGTGCCCTGTGGCTTCTCCCCACCACCACCACCACCATGCAGCCCCAGCCCTGACTCCAGCCCACCTTACTCCTGCTCTGGACTCACCCCAGCTGGAGTGGCCCAGCCAGAACCTGCATGTACAGCCCCGACCCTGGCCTGTGGTGCACCTGCTCCAGATGGCCCAGCCATGCTGAGCAGCAGCAGCAGGGGCCAGGCAGAAGCTGCTGTTCAGCATGGGGGAAAAGCAGCCCCTCCCCCTCTTGCTGCAGCAACCCCATGCCTGGGCTGCCCTGCGGCTCCTCTCTGACACCATCACCACCACCTCCAGGTCACCCAGCGGGGCAGTGGTGGCAGTGCAGAGAAGCCACAGTTCAGCCTGGGTACGGGCTCCAGGTGGCTGCAGCAAGAAGGTCCCAGCAGGGGAGGGGAAGCGGCCACTTTTCCCCCATGCTGAGCAGCAGCTTCTGCCCGGCTGCTGCTGCTACTGCTCAGCGTGGGCAGGTGAATCTGGAGTATGTGCAAAGTGGCTGGGGTTGGGGCTGTGCACACAGGTTTCATCTGGTCTGGAGTTGATCCACTCCACTGAGCTGAGTCTAGAGCATGTGCAGAGTGGGCCAGGGGTGGGGCTGTGCATGCAGGTCCCCACCAGCACCACAGGGTTGAGGCCAGCAATGGCAGCAGCCAGAAGGAGCTGCCACCACTACCTGGGCTGCCTAGTAAGGCAGTCCAGCTGTGGAGCCACCCCCACTCCACTGCATGACTAAGAGACAGCAGGATGTGCCACAGGCCAGACAGCACCTCTGCTAGGTGAGACCAAGAAACCCACTGTGAACTGGACAAAATCGCTCTGTGGGCCAGATCCAGCCCGCAGGTCTTATTTTGCTCACTCCTCATTTACGTCATAGTATTTTGTTTTCAAATCAGTTGAGAAGGGGCAGCCTTTTCTCCCAGGAAGAGAAAACTGGAGATGGGGCATCAGAAAGTTGTAAATCAGATAAGCAAATTCTTTAATCCTCAAGATTTGGATTCAGCAACTTGACTGCAACAGTTCTTTCTATTTCAGCATATGACCAAACTGGATAATTTGCTGCTACTAAATAAAAGTGACAATGTCAAATATTCTGCAGAATAGAGAATTGGGACCTGGGATTTCTATCTTTTCTTTCCAACTTGGCTGTAAAGGAGCTTTTTGATCTTTGGAACATGTCATTTAGATGCAGTAATTTCAGAAATGGGCTCTGATTTTGATTGTCCAATGTTTTGCAAACCCATCCTTTAGATACCTGAAACTTGGCTTGTAGAGAGGCTGAGCATTCATAACTCCAGGTGAGGTCATAGGGGATGCTCAACACCTCTAATGTTCAGGCGTTGGGTATGCAAAATTGGGTGTAAAATGTAGAGGCCAGTGTTGAAAGTCTCACTATCTTTAAAATTGTTCATTATAGTAACACTTACCAGCATTGAGTACAGTGAGCTTCAGTTAATTATGGTTTGCAGTGTATTTTGATATCTGTAGAAGAAAGGTGATACTGAAGAGATAAATGTTTTTCAGTTTTAAATGTCATCTTTTCAGGAAATATTGCACAAGCACATGATCCATTCCAAATTCCTGATCTCATTCTCCAGTAAGAAATTCTATTTATTGGAGTGTCTGGGACAAGGGGAAACCAGGGAGATTATCCAATTAGAATAATTTTGTGTTCTTTGAACAAGTGTTAAGGGTTAAAACACTTTCTCTATAAAACTCTGATTCTCTTAAGATGTTATAGAACTGTCACAGATTTATGAACTCTTTTACCTTGCTGAGTAAATAATTTCTGATAAAAGCTTAATGGTTTCTGCTCATTTTAAAAGTCCATTGCTTTTCTGTTGGTTGCATTGGCTATCGATTTCTAAAGGTATATCAGTTGCTACAACTTACTTATGTGTCCCATAGCTGTACTTCATGGCAGTTTGTCTTGCCTTGCATCAGTGCTAAATATTCTATGAGTAAATGTGGAAAAGATGTTCATGGAAAGGTTCAGATCAAGGATACAGGACTCTTGAGCATGAATTTTTTGAGAGAAAGTAATGGCAGATGGGTAAAATGGCTTGAATGAAATATGGACCCACCTAAACTTTTAGAGCTGAATTGAATCAAACTTTTTTGAAACCTGGAAAAGTTTAAAACATTCTTTAAGATACAGGTTTGTCTATAGCCTCTATATCTGTATATTCTGACAAGGACTGGAGGGAGTGAAATCCCATGAGGGAGAGAACTCATGGCATTTCTGAAGTAATGAATACAGGAAGTACCACCAATCTGATGAGGCAGCCTGTTCGGCAGAGGTTTTTCTAGCCCAATTTTGCGAATGTAAAAGACAATACAGATGAAGTGTAAATAATCATTCCAGGTCCTTGGATGTTTATCAAAGGACACAGACTCAAGCAAAACTTTAAAAGTTCAGTATCATTAGAAATGAACTTGATTTGGTAAATGAGCAGGGTGATCTTTCTTTGCTTTGTTGGGTATTTCATTACTAAATATTCAAGCTGAGTCACCAAACTAGGATATTATTGGTTTTTATTTTGCATTTACTGATTGTCACGTACAACAAAATAATTTGACTACCTTTTGCCAAACTCCATTTAATTTGCAAATAAATTCTCTTGGCCTCATTTGAACATTGCTGATCTATATTAACTTTCTTACCTGATGAACATGTCATGGGGACCTGTCAAACTGGCTCATTCAGAAAACTTGATTACTGGAGCATTGAAATCAACTCATCTGTTTTAAGAATACAGTTGTAAATCTTTGTTTAAGCTTCAGTGTACTAGCTTCAGTGTCCCTGCCCCTCATTATCATCCCCTCCCTACCACAGTCTGCCAACTTCTGCTTGCAGTTTCCAGAATGTATCCGTACTTTTCTAAAGTGAGGCCTCCATGAGATGCTAGTAGGAGATCAGTAATAATGATAAAACTATACTTCTTCCACATAATATCTTTCCAATTGGAAGTACCCTTCTGTCTCATGAGATAAACATGACATGAACACAGAGTTGTAATTTTAATCCACAGAGAAATGGAAGTTGAGGACTTTAAAAACTTCCTTGTACATTTATCATCGAAAGCTATTATCCAGAGGCATAAAATCTACTTATTTATTCTAACCAGGGTGAATGGAAAAGAACTATAAAGCTATTGTATTTGTACATCAATCACAACAACAAAAATTCTGGCCCAGATGCGCAGAATTTTGCACTGATGATTTAAACTGAATGGATTTACTCTACTTTGCTTAACAATGTCATTTATTTCTTCCCAAAGTAACAGCAAGATAAAAGCATATTGGTGCTATCTGTTTGTTAATGCAAGCTTAATACAACATCAGAGAGTGTGTGTGTGTGGGAATATGTCACATATCAAATCTATTGCTTCTGTTCTTGTTTATTTTTATGAGCGTTGAGTTGTAGGGGTGGGACTGGTTATTTAAAAGCCTATATCTCTTTGTGCACTGGGTATACTGTACCTACCTATGTTTCTTTTTGTCATTGACTTTGTGCTCTTTCTTTGTCTTCCTGTTGCTGGAATCTCTCTCTAGGAGTTTCATGGGGTAATGCATTATTGCCATCTCTTGCTGCACTGTTATGCCTGTGAAATGTGTGTAAATATGCAGCAGAGTATACACACTTGTCACTTGTGGAAATGAACCATGTCACATGCATTGCACTGACTCCTTTGTTCCTCACACATTATTAACTGATGTTCCCCTCCTCTTCACTTCTCTCACTCATCTCTGTTTACCTGAGGTACAAGAAACAAAGCAGAGTAGAAAGCCAGCTCATGGCTATTTTGTTGGGCAAGAGTCACAGGTTGCAAAAGCTCAGTCAATAGAGCCTGGCTTATCTGAGGTTCAGGGTTCATGTCCCTGGTCCAGTGGTGAGTGCTGCAGTGCTTGCATGTATGTGTTGGGAAAGGGGGGACAGCCCTACTAGAGACCCTGGAAGTTTCCCTTGCTGCCAAGGGTGCTACTTTTTAAGGCTAGATAAACCCCTGTCTAGGATGGTTTAGATAGGGGTGATTGTGCCTTGAGTAGGGATTTGGACTAGACGATCTCTTGAGGTCCCTTCTGGCATTACTTTTCTGTGGGCATGTCTACACATGCAATTAATGCAGCTGAATAAAGTCCAGCACTGCTTGCACTGGAGTTTATTGCTTCCTGACACCACATTTGTATATGCGCCTGGGACCACAGCACGCTGAGCCAGGAAAGACCAGACTCAGCTGGCAGGGGCCCCCAGGGGTCAGCCAGCCCCATCAGCCCTCGTGCCCCAGCCAGCCCCATCAGCATCTACCTATGCTGCACAAGGCACAATAAAAACTTGTTTCTGGCAGTACTGTTCTACAGTGGAGTTAATGAATTTATTGTGTCCTAATAGCACCACATGTGTAGATAGTGACATTTTACTGTGGAGCTAATTTATCAACTCCGCAGTAAAAGTCTTGTGTAGTTATCTATAAGTACATAGATATGTATCTAGCTAGAGTGTGAAACAGATTGTTAGAAGAAGGTTTCGTGTGATATCCAATATTTATTAAAACTAACACACAATAAGGCACAGGAGGAGCCAGGATTATTCTGATGTGTGTGTGTGGGGGTGCCTGTGTGTATTCCATTAGTGCTGAAGGAGGTTTCACGCCTATATTTCTATATTCTTGAGGATCTAACTCAGCACAGATCCTGACTTCATGCAGCAGACCGTGCAGTAAGCTGAGAATTGAGTGACATTGGCTTCTGGGAACTCTGCACAGGGAGTTACAAAAGATAGAGTTTGCACAAGTGGCCTTAACCCTCCTGTCAGCAATGCTCCGTTGTGGACAGTACAAAGTAGTTGCCCTTTCAGGACCAGGGAGAGCTCTTATTAGCAGAAAATTCTGCTGTCTCTTCACATTTTAAAAGAAGAGAGCAGGAACTCTTATTCGTTTCCCCAGAAGAGGAAAGCAAAGAGATGAAATAAAGGGGATAGGAGGTCTGTGATAGAATTCAAGAAGTGGTGGGCTGTTTTCTTTCTTCTCAAAGAGAAGTTGAATTGGTTAGGCATTGCAAGCTGGTAGCATCGCTCACAGACCGAGCTGGGAGACTGCATTTACTCTTAAGCAGGAGGGTTAACTTTCTGCCTTGGAAATTTCAAGTGATTGCAAGAGAAGGTGGCTCCACCCTTCTGTGACTATTTGGTGATTTCTCTCGAAGAGACCGGTGTATGTGAAATCAGAGCTGCTGGCAGGAGCAAGAGAAACAAGAAGTTTCCACTTGAAAGAACTATCAATTTTTTAAAAGATTATTTATTTATTAAAGGAAGTCTCTTTTATTATTTGTTAATTATTTAAAGGCAGGAATATCAAACTAGTTCAGGATAACTAACAACCTGGTCTGATGCAATCTGAATTGTCTTGATGTAATCACACAGGCCTGTCTCCTGGTTTTTATTCTCTCATGGTTTTTAAATTATTCTGTTTCAATCTTCTGTTTTCTATCTTGCTGTATGTTCATTAAGCTTCACAGTTCAATAAAGATCAGTTCTTCTATGTCTTTTCCCCCATCCCCACATTTTCCTTGGGCAGGAAGCTTTTGTCAGAGTTCGGACTTCCATAGTCAAATGCAGCTCAATGTGTAGCCCTTCATTGAAACATTATGATATTTGGCTATTTCAGCTTCTTCTCCAGAATTGTATTAAGGCCGTTGGCAAATCAAATTTGGAGAACCCTTCATTTAAAAACTTGCTTGGCTCTTGAACTTCCTGATTCTTACTTGCAGGAGCTGTCACAATATTGTTTTTATAGCCCAAGCTGTCGCTTGCACTAGTCCAGCGTATACCATTCTGGTCCCTTTGAAATTCTACGTTTCCTTCAGAAAGAGTCACATTTTCTTAACTAGAAATCAGAATAGTTAAGACATAGGAGCAAAAGTCCCACTGAATTTCGTTATAGTTAATGCTCTTAATTTACTTATGTGCTTTGGGAAAGCCCATCCATGATGATTTCCATTGGAAGCCTCCTTGTAAGCAAAAGGAATTTTATAGGGCTAGAACTTCCTCTCCATCAGTCTCAACCCCTTCACTAGGGTCTCTGGACATTTCTTGACACAGAGAAATTTGAACTATTTACTACATAAAGAAGGCAGGCAGGCTGTTACAGAGAGTCATTACACGTTTTCATTAATGCCTATTAACCTTCTACCCTTTTGCTGTGAAGGCAGTCATTTAATTTGGGGTTATACATTGCTTACAGATGAAGCTCATTGGATCTCTGGTTTGCAGTAATCTCTCTCTACTGAGGACTGTGATCAGGGTCCCCCTCTTCAAGAGATGTAGCTTCCCTGTCATAGATCAGCCATGTGTCAACCTTCCCCTATGTATGCCCCTGCAAGAAATTTGCAGTGAATAGATTTGCTGGATTTACTGCAGCTCAAGAGAAAACATCCCTAGTGGCCCATGTTTTGTTATTATCCCAGGATATCAAGATCTGTAGAAACCAATCCATCTGCTCTATGTGCTTTATTGTGTGAGTGGACTGCCAACATCTAGTACATATGTCTGCAATCTAATTGAGAACACTAGAGTTTTATTTTAAAACAATTAAAATTGTATAGACCACACCCACTAGCACTTAAAATCTCTCTGTTTTCACAAGAAACATGTATCTCATTGTGTTTGCAGTTCCAACATCCTTTAAAAAAATAGGTGATGAAAATAGTTATCTTGCTTTTGAATGCACTTTTACATCCAAGTGCCCTGTTTCAAATATAAAACGGGGCATGCTGTTAAGTGCCTGCAAGTATCTATTGTTTCTGCCTGAGGAATACAACTCAATAACTGGATCTCAGTACTTTCCATCCTCTGGCAGAGAGATGGCCATTATATGCTGATGGTGCATGGTCATTGCTTACTTGGATCTTTTGCTGTAAAACGCATATGCAGATCCAAACATGCAATTTATTAACTTTAGGCCTAATTCTCATTTAAACTAAGACCACTTCCCTGAGAGTATAAAATGCCTTTCTAAAGTCCAGTCCTTTATACTAAAGAGGAGCAAGAGCCTACAGCTGCCTTGTTTTCCTGCAACTTGGTTCCTACCCTCCAGCTCCTGTACAGAACATTGCAGAACTCAACTAAGAATAGTTTGACTGAAGCCTGCTAATACTGATATGCCTCACAACATCTCTCCTTCCTTGAGAAATCAGTGCAGTATTGTCAATGTAACCACAGAAGTCCTTCTCTTGTAATTAGTTCCCTGGATCCTCCTCCTTCTCTTTCTTAAAGATGGGCACTATATTTGCCCTTTTCCAGTCATACGGGACCTCTCCCAATCACTACTCATTTTCAAAGATAATGGCCAGTGGCTCTGCATTCACATCAGCCAACTCCCTTGGGTGCATCATATCCATCTCCTTGGACACATTCAGCTTTTCTAAATAGTCCCTAACCTGTTCTTTTGCCACTGTTGGCTGCTCATCTCCTGCCCAAACTGTGCTGCCTGGTGCAGTAGTCTGGGAGCTGACCTTGCCTGTGAAGACTGAGGTGGAAAAAGCATGGAGTACTTCAGCCTTTTCCACATCATCTGCCACTAGGGACACTTATACATGTGCTCCAGAAAGGGGTGGGGGGCAGGGTGCTAAAGCACCTGAAGTATCATGTGTATCAGTGTCCCCTGCACTGAAAAATGATGGTGGGGGCGTTTTTACCTAAAGCTTATTGAATGAGCTTTAGCTAAAGCATCCCTGCTGCCATTTTTCAGCATGGGGAAGCTGATACACATGACTCTGGAGGCTGCTGGAGGGCAGTAATTACCACTCTCCAACAGACTTGATTAATCTAGTCTGCTCCAACATGCTGTAATTACAGCACATCAGAGCAGCCTCTCTGCACGTGTATAGGTGCCCTAGGTTGCCTCCCCATTTAGTAAGGGACCTGCACTTTCCCTGATCTTCCTCTTGTTGCTGACATATTTGTACTTGTTACCCTCATGTCTTTTGCTAGCTGCAGCTCCAGGTGCGCTTTGAAATTCCTGATTTCATCCCTGCATGCCTAAGGAATACTCTTATACTCCTCCCTAGTCATTTGTCCAAGTTTCCACTTCTTGTAAGCTTCCTCTTTATGTTTTAGTTCTCTGAAGAGCTCCCTGCTAAGCCAAGCTGATCTTCTGCCATACACAATGCTAAAACTTCATTACTGACCTCTTTAAAAATCACTCTTAACTGAGAGCAGAAACTCTCTTGTCTTTCTACTGTCTTGTAGGTGTCTATGTGAATGTTTCTAGACTTTTCTGTGTGAGGCAGTTGGATGTCCTGTTAGTTTTCCCCTCTCCTTCACTTTGGCACTGTCCATGCAAACCTCGAAACATGGGCAAATAAGTAGTATGACTTTTCTTATCAACACAGACTGAGATTTATTTCATGGCTGGAGACCTATGTAATAAATCCAAGCTCTTGTCTACATAGATTGTATAGTCAGTAGTCAAGCTGGTATGCTTTGCAACAGACAGTATCTGTGCTGCCAAGGGAAACTATGCTAGCAACACCAAGCTCAAGCACAGCTGTTACTAGATTTTTTGCCAGCTGCATAATAGAGACAGGACCTATTAGTCATAAAACGTCTCCTAATCGGGAGGCAGGGATAGCTCCATCAGAGCCCTTCTAATTCATCAAAGAGCAGTTATTAACATATTAACTCTCCTGACTAATGCAGTCCCATGGAAAAGTCTGGGCTGCCCTTGTATAGTTCTCACTTAAGTTAAAAAATGAAAATAATATTTTAGTGATTTATTTTAAAAACACATATTTTGGTTAGTCCTACACCTGGAGCACTTGGCAAAAGATTGGGCTACAAGGAGCCTTGCCAGAGTCTTGTCTCCCATCTCCATGCCAGAAAGGCTAAACAATTATATATATTTGGAGTTAAGCTCATGAAATTCTTTAAGAGCAACTTAATTGCACAAAGGCATCCCCCTCAAGCCTTCAGCCCCTGAGAAAGCATGAGGCTTGGTAATGCCTTTGTCAACTTGTAGATGTGGCCACCTATGTAAAGATTAATGCTGGAGCTGGGCAGTTGTTCCCAGTCATAGATCAGATTTCCTGCTTGTCTCATTCTAATCTTTTTACTCTGTTTTTGTGCAAGTTTGATTCCATTGACTTTTGTGGAGTTACTTCTGGTTTACAACGTTATGAATTAGAACAGTGTCAGCCATCAATTAGCTCTGATTAAAGAGGTTCTAAAGAAGTGCTGAAAGACTTGGATGTCCTCATCCTCTTTGTCTCTGCAGTCTCTTCCTCTACTGCTTCGTCCCTCGTTATCCTGTCCCATAAAACAGACCATAAGCTGATTTATGAAGGTGATAGTGAAACAGGCAAGAGCCTCTCAGTTTACATTAGGAATATTCCTTTATCTCATTAGCTTATTCTTGCATTGAAAATGAACAGAAGTGACTGACCACTGAATAGAGGGAAAATATTGGCAATGAGATATAGTTAATGTTCCCCTCGTGGACGCTGGTTCAAATACAGCCTCATCAATCCTGGCTAAAACAATCCTCTGAGATAACATGACCACTGCTTAATTGACAGCATAAAGTAACTTGTTGGTGTCTTGATACTTTCTAAGTGGACAGTTGTCCAAAGTACAAAAAAAAGCTGTCACTACATTCACTAAGTTAAGAGGCTTGAGTAAGCTATAGCGTATGAACCGTCCTCTTCTTTCTAGATATTGTTTCTCCAGAATCATAGTGTGTGCATGGGTGGGGCGGGGGTTACATTTCTAACTCTCTGAGCATAATCATGTTTTTCTTGGTATGTTTTCCCAATAATGAAGCTAAGCATTGCTTGGCAAATTGGTGAATGGGAGAGGAGACCATTCAGTGAAGGGTTCCAAAGCACTGCTCATCTGCACCTTTTGTTATTACAGTGCAAGTGTGTATTTAAACCAGTCCTAAGACCTAAGCCCATAGTCTAGAGGTCAGCTTTACTATCATTTTCCATCTCATTTTCTCACAGTACTAAGTAAAATTGAATTTCATTATGTTCTACAAACTGGTTGGCAGAGAGCCTAGCTGCATCTTTTCAGAAAAAAAGAAAACAAAACTTTAAACCTCTTTTCTTTATTTCGAGGGAAGGTTGAGGTAGAAATGGAATCCTTCACTTCCAACCTCCCTAATTGTAATAAAATGAACAGCCATGTTTGCATAAATGATTAATCATTTGCACACGCTTTTAACAAAACAGAAGTGACCTCTGACATCTGCATGCATGGACTGGAGAGTTACACTAGTATTGTTTCAGGCATGTAATATGTCTGCATATTACATGGCTCAGCATGGTATTGGCAGCATGTCTTCCAAAAGAAACCTGAGAACAATAGTGTAATGGTAAAGAGTGCAGAAATGGAAAGCTTATTCTGCGCCAAGAGTGTGTGCTGTCCATCTGCCCATCAAAGGATTCAGTTTCTTGTGTTCACTGTCTGTTTCACTAAGGAAAACCTTCCCTCCAAACCACTTTGAAAACCATACAGACAAATTGCACTGAGAGGTATCAGCAAAATGTCTGTCTTTGTCAGAAGAGTAGGTGATACACATAATCCTGGCTAAGAAAAACTTTTGGTGTAGATTCACAAGACAGGCGGACAGATGCATCTCTTCCCCTTCTCCCGCCAGTGGTTGCAGCTTCACTTGTGTGATAGCTACTTTCTCTGTCATTACCAGACATGCAGATCTATTCTCATGCTGGTTATGAGCATTACTTTGGTGGGAAGGAAGAGAGTGAATACCTGGGAAGTGATGCAGGGATGGAGAGCACAAGCAGATAAACTTTCTAAGGGCTAAATTCTGCCCTCGGCTTCCTTTCTGTACATTGCTTTACACTTCCCAAGTGGTTGGTTACTGCAACTCCCAACCACCACTGCTGTGTGCAGAGAAAATGGAGACGATAGCTCCAAACCTGAAAGATCTGAGTACCTGTAGGCCTTTTCATAAGTTTCGTGAGAACCAAGGTCCTTCCTTTTTCACTGTTGTATTTCCCCCCCACTTGCAGAGGAACCAAAGGCAAGGATATCAACACCATCAAGTCACTGCGAGTTCTGCGGGTGCTAAGACCCTTGAAGACCATCAAGCGTCTGCCAAAGTTAAAGGTTGGAGAATAATTGGAAATAGTTCCTCTTTGCTGTGGGTCTTGAAGGCAGAGCTGTGAGCAAAATGGCCTAAATAAACTTAAACTGGATGAATTATGGTTTTTTAATTGTATTTTGTGAATGATTGCTTATCCATTAAGTATTTTAGTGTTTTATAACACCCCCCCGCCCCCCCAAAATGCAATCTATAAATTCAACACAGTTTTTGATTTTGAAATTTTTCAGTGCGCCAGAGTGAATTTTGGTATGCTCAACTTTGCCTGGCTGGTAGAAAACAAACACCACGGTTTTGCCAAGCTCTGTCTGCAGAAATTGTTGACTGAACTTTGAGGAATTTTAGTCTGTTCAGAATTTGGTGGTCATAGGTTCACCTCAGGCATCCTGAGTCACAAAGTGAAATGAATTGAATTGAATGAATTGAATAGCTTGTGCTTAGTTATTTAGATTATTTCAGGAATGAAGTTAGTGTTGTTTAGCAGTAGCCTGCTGCTGAAATTGTGAGGTGGGAGAAGTTACAGAATTAAAGTGATCTGCATTGTTAGGAATCTGTGCAGGAAATATTTTCCCTGCAGAGTGATCAGTAACACTTTACGGCTCTTTCATTTGAGATGGGGGGGAAAAAAAAAAAAAGAGAATACTTTTGCTTTTGTGAAGCCATCAGTCATATTCTTGTTTTTACAAACTGCAAAATAGACAAAAGGGTTAGTTTTGATCTAGATCCTTTTTTATTCACATCACCATGCTTCATATTCAAACAGATCATTTGGGTTTCAGCTAATTTAATTTTCATGAGTGCTAAATTTGCCTCCAAATGTAAGTAAGAATACAATTAAACTGTGGAAAAGACCATGTTGAGTTGATTGGAAACATAAATGTGCAGCTCTATGGTCCTTGAAATCAGCAGCATTAGTTTTTATCTACTGCAGAAGGCAAAAGAATGTTTGCTTTTTATTAAACAAATTATTTATTTTCAAACCTATATTTGTGAGAGAAACTCCAATACTCAGAACAGTCCGCAAATATTTATGTGAATAACAAATTGAATTCACATTGCGTGTCTTTACATCCCTTTTGCATTCATTCTTTGAAGATAAGCTTGGTTTATGGGATTATTAGAAAATGTTTTCAGAGAGCAATTCTCACTGTCTGCACTGTCATTTTGTGTTACTCTTTTCCATTCAGAGAACCAGAAACAATGCTACATCACCTACTTTTCCAATCAAGGCAAATACAACCAATATATTGTATCACAAAAGAAAAACTGTGCAAGAACAATCTTTAAACTTGCATTAATGAATTGATGGCTTATCAAAAACCAAATATATTTGCAAAGTGTTTGCAGGCAATTCACAAGTTATTTTTGCTGACTACAGTATTCGAAGTTAGTTAACACACTGGTTGACTATTTGGTAAAAGTAATATATTCAAAGCATTCTGGTATTTTATCACTAAATATATTTTCTTACCATTCAAACAGTTTGAATAATAATCATTGAACCATTTATTTTATAAGTTTTTCCCCCTATCAGTGGTTGACTATATTAAACACAAATGTATTTTTCTTTTAATCAACCAGCTATGAAAATATTTTGTTTAGGACTAATACTACTTACCTAGATTACCCAGCTGGCAATTTTAGTCACCATTTTAATTAGTAATACTACAGAATGCAGTCCCACATTTTTAACTCTTACAAGTAAAGAGAAAGCTATTAGTAATAGCTGTTAGTTGCTGCTACTAGTAGTAAGAATTTGCAAGATCTGTTGTCTGAGTTAAAGGAGTCTTTCCAGGACAAACCCAGTCTAAATCCGGTACATGCTCAAAATGAAATGTTTTTCTATAGGTGCTAGATGTTGAGCTCTCTCTCTTCTAACCTCTCCCCTATTCCCATAACTCCACAGGCGGTCTTTGACTGTGTAGTAAATTCCTTGAAGAATGTCCTCAATATCCTGATTGTTTACATGCTCTTCATGTTCATCTTTGCTGTCATTGCTGTGCAACTCTTCAAAGGCAGATTCTTCTACTGCACGGATGAATCAAAGGAGCTAGAGAAGGACTGCAGGTACTTGAAGAATGGCAGGGGCTGCCTGTGCCAGAAGCAGGCAGTGTTTGGCCTCCAAGAGAAAATTCTGCATCCCTTGAGGAGTTCCCTGGGCAGTGATCACTCCTGTGTGATTGTGTACTGCTTCCAATTCATTCTGCTGTGGTTCTAATAAATAAGGGTGTTGTTTCAACAGACTTCACACCAGACATGAATTTTATCCCTAGTAAAATTCCCTCAAGAGTTTAACTGTACATTGAGGGCACGTCTACACATTGCCCCACGGCAATGTAGCAATGCGTTACGTTACCATATGGCATGCTACATCGCCGTAGCAATCACCTGGGCCTACACGCTAGGTTTCTGTAGCGGCGTGCTCCCCGGATATAGTGCACCCAAATGGCGACGTAGCGGGGAAATCTAAGTGTGCGCTGCCTGCACAGCACAGTAATCACCCATGCTGCACCGTGTTTTAGTACTTCTAAAAGGAAGTACTAGAGCACGGCATCATAGCAACGTCACCAAATTTAGTGGGACTAAGTTTGTGCTTAATGATCAGCATAAGCATAACTGTTGGAAAAGACTGGCTACTAGCTTCCTGCCTGATTATGTTCTTGATAACTTTTTTTTTTAAAACCTTATAATGAATAAGTGAAAAATGAATAAGTAAGAAGTTTCAAATATACTTAAAATACTTCAAGTAATTTTAAGCATGATATTACTCCATTGTTAACTATAGCATGATAGAAGCCCATCATAACATGGCCTCTCTTCCAGTCTGATTTGTTCTTTTCCATTCAAAGGTCTTTTTGTGTTGTTCTTCTATACCTCAAACCAGCAGGCATCTTCCTTGCTTGCTGCTGCTTTTGTCACCCAAACCATTGAGAGTGGCCACAGTACGATCAGCAACAGTGCATGAAACACTGCTACCTGGGGCTGCTGTTTATAGTTTCTGTCCACTAGCTGGCTGGCTAACTTCACCGTAGCAGAGCAAATCTATATGCAGTGTCTGGGGATTTTATTTTTATTTTCTCATTGCCAGTACAACTGATTTAATTTTAAGCAGAAATATAGAACTCCCCAGCAGCTTATAATAATTTTATGCTATGTCAGAATATTACAGACCCCAAAATAAATAGTATCTTCTTAATTGCAAGCTTACCTCAACACTTATCTCCATGTAATGAACAGCCTGCAAGACAGTGCTTTCCCTTGCTGTTCCAAAGGTCACAGGGTCATTTGCCTTGTACAGGTGTTAAAATGATATTTCTTTTAAATTAGAAACTCAGGGACCATACTTTTGTTCTGTGTTTGTACAGTGCCTGGCGCAGTGGGATTCTGGGCTATGATTGGAGCTCTGAAGTGCTGTTGTAATACCAGTAGTAGAAATGATCATAATTAAATTTCTTTTGAGCCTTGGCTCTTTCACGTGTTTCAAACCTCTTTTCTTCTTAGGGGTCAGTACCTGGATTATGAAAAGAGTGAGGTGGAGGCAAAGCCCAGGCAGTGGAAAAAATATGAGTTCCACTACGACAACGTGCTTTGGGCTCTGTTAACACTATTCACTGTCTCCACGGGAGAAGGGTGGCCAACGTGAGTATGAGGAGTTTATTGGGTTAAGTGACTTTATTGAGAAAAATGCTAACTCTACATAATTCTCAGAGACAGAGAAATAATAACCAACCATTCAATTCGATGGCCAAATCTCCGAATCCGAATCTAATCAGAGGACCCTTTAATCTTTCCAAATCAAACTGGAACCCTCTGAATGAATTTGGAGATATTCAGAAACATTCAGAGATTTGGACATAGACACAGCTTTAAATGTTTTTTCTACATACCTCTAGGCGGCTCGTGAGTGCTGTGATGCTGGGGCACATGGAGTGTCCCACAGGAGCGCGGGGGAGTCCCCAGTGTGCTTAGCAGCAGACCTCGAAGTGGACCAAAAGCACTTCTGGTCCACTTCCAGGTCCTCTGGGGAGCACCCCGGGGCCCCCTGTGCCTCCCCAGCTCAGTGACTGGTGCCTCCTGGGTCTGGGGGGCACCTGGGGTCCCCCTGTGGCTGATCGCCGAGCTGGGTGCTCCATGCGCCCCAGCACCGCAGCATTCACAAGCCGAGCTGCTACCTCAACATATGTAGAAAAAACTTTTAAAGCTGCGTCTGTCTTGAATCGCCGATTCTCCAAATCAGCATCAAATCGTCAGATTTGGATTCGGCCGAATTGAATCAGGGACAGTGATCCGAATCAACAAATCAAACTACTGTCCCTGATTCAGACCAAATCCAAATTGAATAGGGCCCGCTTCACACATCCCTAGTGTGTATTTTTTCTGCATAGTCCTGTGAAGTTGCGCAGTGGTATTTCACAGGCACTTTTCAGTATATAATCAGTCATTTCTGGTCTTCAGACTTGCACTGCTTTTTTTTGCTATGGTATAGATTACACGATATATACAAACTAATGGGTTTGAAAGTAGGGAGAGGGAGCAATGTGACCCATAACAAAAGTATTCTAGATTTTTTTGATCAAAATTGCATTTCCTATGAAGTCTGTGACTTTATTTTGGTATGCTTTGTCCCAGGAAGTATTAGTTTAAAAAATGCAACATAGAAGTCTTTCCACATGGCACACAATCCCTTTCATTCATCCCTCATAAAATAACAAATGAACACTTTCAGTGCCTTGGCCAGCTGTGTTAGTCCATATTCTTGGGGCAGTGTGCTCAAGGGACTGCTCACTCATTAATCACAGCCTTTCCACCACTCATACCTATTGACACAAGAGTGAAGAAGAAGAAAACAAGAGTGCCAGAGACTCCAAAGTATCCCCAACTCCTGTAATTTCTCAAGATTGATCACAAGATAGAAATGAGTTGAGCCTATACATGTAGGGAAGAATCTCTACAATGAAGCCTCTGAGGCAAGGCCACCCTATAGGAAAAATCGGTGCTATTATGAACATAATTGTATGTTGTGTTGTATTTTGTCATTGGGTTTTTTTCTTCTCTCTCTGCATTTGTTTACAGTGTATTGAAGCATTCGGTGGATGCTACATATGAGGAACAAGGTCCCAGCCCTGGCTATCGAATGGAAATGTCTATCTTTTACGTGGTGTACTTTGTTGTCTTCCCTTTTTTCTTTGTGAATATATTTGTGGCGCTGATCATCATCACCTTCCAGGAGCAAGGAGATAAAGTGATGTCGGAATGCAGCCTAGAGAAAAATGAGGTAACCGGGCCTTATGAGTCCAGCAACCATGTGTAGATTAGATGCTCACATCTTTTTTTGGCTCAAAATATCTTGATATCTTGTGAATGAGATATTCCAGCTTTTTCTGAGTCACTAAACATTATTACATGTCTCTTTTGCCCACATCTTCACATTCAAAATGGAAAGATGCTAAGTGCTGGCACTATATATTTGTGTGTGTGTGTGTGTGTATGTGTGTGTGCGCACATGCATGAATATGTATACTGTTTTGCTTTCTAGTGGCCAGACAGCAACAAGAATAATAAGTTGAACCACAACCATAATAAGTTGAACCACAATTTCTCCAGACAACTAAAAAAAATGTTTCTATCTACACTGGTAGAGATCCAGAATTTTTAATGGTGAATGTGTGCAAGGTATTTGCCCAAGTTACCCCTAGCTTTAATCCATGGTATCAGTCTCTGTCCAGGAAGTATGCAAGATAGGATTAACCCCAGGGTTATTCTTGCACGGGGGATTGTGTGGCACCTACTCTCATGCCTGGCTCTAAGATATGGTTATTCACTTTCACAATCAATCCCTTATTTCTAAAAAAAATTCTAAAATTAATATACATAAATGAAACCAGTTTACACCAGTGACCGCAGACTTAGATGTATTTTTCTTGAGGATGAACCCTGAATTTAAGGGATCAGTTTGCCAAGGTACCAACCTGCATGTTCTTGATGCCCAAAGGTTTGCAGTTCTTCTTTAAGAAGATACCTACAATTAGGGCTTATCAATAAACATTCTGTGAGATGTATTTTGTTAGAAAATACTGATTTCATTTAACCTGAAATTTCCCATGGGAATATGTGAATTTAACATATTTTAAATTTTGAGTAAAAGTTGTGGAAAAAAGTTTGGAATGTGTTGGAATATCCTCCTTGGACATTTTTGGAACAAAATGTTCACATTTTCTAGTTCAAAACTAATTTTAGTTGATTTTTAGTTAGTTTAATAATCAAAAACAATAAAAACCAATAAAAAGTTTAAGACCAGAAACACATGTTTTGAACTAATGGAAATAATGTATTTAAAATTGAACCAAAGGTTCTTTCGGGTTTCTTGAAAAAATTTGGAGATTTAAAATTCCTGTCTCAATTCAGAACAGGACATTTTTTCAAACATGCGTCTTCTTGCAGGACAGGAAAGCTGTTTCCTGCCCAGCTTTACTCATGGGAACATGAAAAAATGACAACACCTGGAAGAGATGAGCCACTGACCTTCCATGGGTATACAATCTCACAGTGCCTTCCAGAGCTGATTGCAATAGTAGATGTGTTTCATTCATATTTCATGTGAATTATCAGCTGAGCATTTTCACTGTGTGTGAATATATAGAGATTTCACTCTTTTTTTGGTATACAAATGACATCTGTACTAATCACCTGATCCAGTTCTGTAGAATTAAGCATCAGAAATGCATTGGCAAGATTTTCTCACTGGGTGCCCTGCATTTGTGGACTTGCTGAATGCTAGGGTATGATATAAAGCCCCTCTTTTCTTTTAGGCTTTGCTTAGGGGAGGACAGTAGATGATTATGGGGGGTGGTATGTGTAGTTCACTGCTTCAGGAACTATTCCACTGTCAGTGGTGGTCCACATACCATGTGTGCTATATTTTACAGTAGTTTTCTTCAGTGTTCAGAAACTATCTAAAACACTTTTTGAAACAATACATTTGCTGTCCATCCTCTGCAAAATACTCCAGCCAGCGCTCTGCAAACTCTGTGGTTTACCAGAGGGTGCCAGCTCATTTTGATGTTTAACATGTTCCTGTTTTCTAGAGGGCCTGTATAGACTTCGCCATAAGTGCCAAACCACTGACCCGCTACATGCCTCAAAACAAGCAGTCTTTTCAATACAAGATGTGGAAGTTTGTGGTGTCCCCTCCCTTTGAATATTTTATCATGGTCATGATTGCACTCAATACAATTGTGCTGATGATGAAGGTTAGTGAGCTATTATTAGTTTGTCCAAACTTTGTGCCGCCTAGGCAATGCACAATTTGCGCTGGGAGTAGAGGGATTGAGACTGTCTAGTAAGATGAAAGGCAGAAGCTTGGTTTTTAACCTTGCTATAGCAATGTCTGCTGCTTCAATCTTACTGAAAAAGCTTGCCTGGACATGAAATCCTATAAGAACAGAATCGCCAGCTCAGGGAGCTGCTTAGCTTGCATTGCTGCTTCCTGTACTCCTCTAAGCCTGTTTATAGAGGACTGAGACTCAGTTCTTGAGAAGCTTGGTACTTCTCATTAATTCTCTTACTACCAAGTAGGGGTCAGATGCATCCCATTTACACTGGAAAACCAAATCAATTCCAGTAAAGTCAACAGAGTTACTTAGATTTGCAATCGGAATAAGGATTGCTGGAACTAGCTAAGTTCTGTTTGCCACATTATCCAGAAGGGAGAGCCATTGTATCCCTGGTTTGAGTCAAAGGAACCTTAGAACAGCTTTTACTTACCTCAGGGGGAAGAGGGGAGTACTTTTTACTAACAGCAACCTCGGAGGGGTCATTAAATTGCTGGAGATCAGCAGCATTCCAGGGGGCACATTCTGCATACCCAGCCAATGCTACCCACAGGTCTAGGGTGGCCTCCATTAGTAGAGGGTTCCTCGGTGCTGATCTGGCCTATTAAAGCAGTGTAATGGCCTCTTTATGCCTCTGGAGTGACACACATGGTCCATGGCAGAAAGCAAGATGTAGCCATTGAGTATATACAAAATCTTACTCCCACATCGATAATCTTACAGGCAAGCAAGCATTTGTGAACATTTTATTCCATTAGCATAACAAGTCCTTCATTAACAGCCTTTCTTCCCTTCTGGTTTAGTTCTATGATGCTCCAGAAGCATATGAAGAAATGCTGAAATGCCTGAATATTGTGTTTACATCTATGTTTTCAATGGAATGTGTGTTGAAGATCATTGCCTTTGGTGTACTGGTATGTTCTTCTTTCATTTACCTTCTGCTGGTTTCCCCTCATGTCAAATATCTTTTTGCTTCTGGAATGATGCAATGATTAAAAACCAATTTGCAATCCACTCTGTAAAAGAAAATAACTTCTAGATTCCTTTTCCCTCTCTTGTGTTTTTATTTTGCAGAATTATTTCCGAGATGCTTGGAATGTCTTTGATTTTGTAACAGTATTGGGAAGTATTACTGATATTTTAGTAACAGAGATTGCGGTAAGTACGGTTTGCTCAGTTTGCCTCATTTACCAACAAAGCTGTATCCTGTCAAAGCACTGTACCTTCTTCCCACCAACCTGTTCCCTGGAGTCACCTCTAGGACTCATCATGAGATGATGTTCTTTGGTGGCTTGGCAGCCCATTCACATCAGGTCTGCTCTTTCCACAGGGCTGAGCACTGCTGTCTGCCCTAAAGACTTCCATACAAGAAACTCTGATGAGAATGACAAAGCTAGTAGCTGTGCTAGGAAATGCTATTTCCTTCTCATTTAGTAAAAGCATCCTATCCTAAAGCCTTTTTTACCCCTTTATGGAAAAGTCCTGTAGAATTTAATAGAGCTGAAATCCCAAATGGTTTATGATGATGATTATTTCAGAGTACTACCCATGTACTACCTACTTCAGAGAGAAAGCAGAAAGACTCTGTCTCCTTCTCTTTCTTCTCAGTCTCTATTCTGTGTATGTATCACAGCCAATGGAGATAAAAAACAGTGAGGAGAGGACAGATTAAGGAAGGAGGATGGTTACAGCATCACCATAGTCTTAGTTTAGATATGTTTGGATTATACTTTATTTTTTATCTACATAAAATGGTTCCAGGGAAATTATATTAAATAATTTGAAGGAGAATGAGATCCTTTCCATACAGCTTATCAACCAAGCTATAAAAATACAGTAAAAATATAGCATTGTTACATAAGTATATGAGTATACAGACCTTATATTAAATTCTAGTGGACTTTTTTTGGAAGGACAGTGAATGAAGTGACTTCAGGCTAAGAACTTGGTCTTAGCCCACATTGATAAAGTTTGCCCATCCTAACCCAGGTACATGTTTTCAGCCCATACTGGTGATTCTTTGTGTGAGCATACTGAAGATGTAACGTCACTACTTTTCCTCCTTAATCTTTTAAACACTTGTTTACAGATATTTCTGTGTGCTGAGAGCTCAGACTCTTCCCATTTACTGGGAAAAGCCCTGTCCAAGGACCTGTTCACAGGAAGTATGGATGGTGGTGAAAATTGTATCACTGGTTCTAACCATATAGTTTATTATTATGTAATGTCTCTCAATACAGTATCAGAAAACACAGAGAGAGTATTTAAACTGCTGTTCACGACATGAACAGTATTCACATGCAACAGACAAACCCCATAGACTTCGGATTATATTTTCCTATTGAAACATTGCCCACAGACAAAGCAACACTCTGAAACCTAAAGCAAGACAGACTTTTATCCCCAAGTGTCACCGATGTCCCCGATCATCGTTTTGGAACATGTATTGACTGCTTAGAGCAGTTACTTCTGTTTTGGGGGACACAGTTCTCTTGAATTTGAGCATCCAGGTTTTTTTAGGCAGCTTTGAAGACCTTAGCCATAATATGTGACACGGGCTTTTTGTTAGACGAGTTTATTCAATATATGCTTAATACAATGTATCAAGACAATAGACAGTGATCAAGAAGGATCTTTAGGGGTTTATTATAATCTCATAATCTATTACCTTGCATATGGAGGAATATATTTCATTTTCCCTAAGCCATCTCTGTCTTTTAATAATATTAAGCCCATAGGTTTTTTCTTTTAATAAAAGCTCTAGTTCCACAGAGAGCTGATAGTTGTAAAAGAGAGGATGCTAAATCACATGTCAGAATTGATCAGTTTATCCCCCTTAAGTTACATGCCTATTTTTGATGGTACAAAGCTGCACCATCCTAGTGACAGCATAAACATTTCCCAGCACCTTTGGAAACACTTGTCCTTCCACCTAGATGGCTGGTGTTTTCAGGAGGAGGGACTTGTCACAAGGGGTTTAGGCTGGGTAAGAAATCTAGGAGTTGTTACCTGGGAGTGCAGTCTATGGTCAGGAGAACACAGAGGCCAAGTCCAGACCAGCGTGGCCGTGCAGTATGTGGTGCTGCAGACACGTCCACATACCCCATATTCAGTTGTTCTCTGCACTGCAAGGGAACAGTGCGGAGGGGGTTGACCCCTGGATATCCTACGTATTCATGCAGATATCAGCAGCAAACTAACCCTCGAGGCAATGGGATGAAATTTAAAGCTACCTATAATCATAACCCCCAGGACTAAGTATGCACACTGATACTCAGACAAACACAATTCCCTTGTGAGCTGTAACAGATTTATGTAGGGATTTTGAAGATGCAGTATACTAGGCATGACCTTTGATTCAGTATGTATGCCTACATTACTCTTTTATTTTCTGTAACTAATGTCTTCAGTTGTAAGTATAAAGAGTGGCAGATAGAATAATGGTTGTAAAACATGGTGTAAGTTACATCTGAAAAATCACCGTATAGTGAAAATCAGAAGGTGCCATTTTACAGCCCTCTGTAACACTTTTTGCTCCTATTCTTAAGTTTCATTTTAGAGGCTCCTGATTTAACAGTAACTAAATATATTAAACCACCTTTCAGAGAGGTATGTGTAGTTTCTATTTGCAGTGATTGTGATTCTGAAGACTCCCTAGGCTGCATGTTCCATTGCAAAGCTGTTCTGACAAACATTTCCCCCATGTTTAACCGACATGTCCCCTGTTGCAGTCGTAGCCCATTGCCCTTTGTTCTGCCTCTCACAACTAATGAGCCTATTTGATCCCTGTCCTCTTTAAATCATCCCTTTATTAAGAATTTGTATACAGCTATCATGCCTCCCTTTCAGTCTTCTTTCCCTTCAGACTAAATTTGCCCAGTACTCTCAACCTTTTCCTCACTAGACTTGTTTTTCAAAACTTCTTTCATTTTCATTGCTCTCCTCTGAACTCTCTGTAATTTGTCTCTGTCTACAGCAACACACACATCATTAATGAACAGTTTTTTCTGGCTTCTGATGAATTAGGGGCCAGAGAGGGTACACCTCAGAGAGGGTCAGTGGGCTAACAGTGCACAGGCATCACACAAGCTGCCTAAAGAAACATGAGAAATGAGTTATACTCACTTAAGGGTGATGAGGACACACAGATTCCTTGAAACAATTGCTTAATTATGTGTCTTGTATTTTGTAATGGTATGCCAGAAAATTACATCAATAATAGGACCTAAATGCAATAAGCCTGTCTTTTTAGGATGTCATCTACAAATAAAATGGTGCATGTGTAGTTTCATTCTGCTGCACGCAGTCTTAGTCCTCTTGTAGCAGGATCATGGCTGCATTGGATCTCCTCTTGCTCTTCCTTCCCTCCATACAGCTCGTGGCACCCACAGGGGAACACAAATGAAAGAATTTGAAGCTTTGATCTGGTATGGGTTCACGAACCCCGCTGTTGAGGGGAGGAGTGCAATGCACACCATTCTGACCACTGCTTCTACTGAGCACAGGTTCCAAAGCTGCCTAAATTACATTGTGGGCAGCTTTGGCCCCCTCCAATGCCCCAGAATCTGGAGCTTGTAGTTACTTGCAGACACGGTGTGTGAGTTCTGCAGGGGAGGTGGGTTGCATGTATAAACTCCAAGAGTAATAGTTCCAAACTTAGATCCTAGGCACATGTCAGACTTGCACCAGTGCAAATGATTTTTACATTGTTGCAAAAAGGAATGGACACACCCTATAGCTCTACATGAATGTTACTCATGCAAATCTTGGGAAAAATTTTGAATAAAATTACACTGGTGTAAGTTACCCAAATGTCGGTATGCTATGTGTTTGACTTATTTTAAGGTAGCCATTTGCTCAAGGCAAAAAGGCTGTTACCTGCTCCTCTTCCACCGCATGGCAAAACACTATAGTCGTGCATACTGCATCCATCCACTTTGGAATTCAGTGCCATTCACATTGGTGCATAAAAATAATACTGGTATAAAAATGTGTGACGAGGCTACCAGTGACTTGAGAGCCTGTGTCTTCTTAAATTTCAGTAGGAGTTGATCTCCTAAGTCACTTACCAGTTTTGAAGAATTTATATCATTTAAAAAATGAGGAACAAGGACAGTGAGAGAAACTGAGCACTGCTGTGCAGATACCAGTGACTCTGCCTAGTAGCTGAAATGAGCCCTAGCAGGAGAGCAGGTACTGAGGTGTCTCATCAGCAAATTGAGAGCCATGTGTAAGGCCATGCTATTTTATCATGTTTAAACTCTTTTGATATGCAACCACATTACCTCCCTTTGCTCTTGCATGCAGAGGGGTGTTATAGCAAAGGAACTGAGACTTACTTCCATGCAGCACAGAGAACTTCAGCTCATGCTCACCCTGACTTGAGCTCTTCTCTCTACTCATGCACAGTCCAGAATACAACAACCTGGTGCACAGTGTAAAGGCCATATGTTTCTATTGACTGCAGTAGCTGGACAAAGGAGGGGGACTCAACCTCTCAAAGTCATTCTTCAAAGGTCTACATCCACAGCATATTATTACTTTCTTAGAAGAAAGGTTCTTGTTACTGCTTATCTGGCCTTTTTGGAGTAGGATGCTTCCTAGCTAATAAATAACAGTCTGGACTTTTGCATGGCATTCTTTTCTAGTCCCATCATGGATGCTCCGTCCTAACTAGTTGTCAGTTTAAATTGACCTATTGCTACTTTGACTTGAGCGCAAAGCCCAGATGACATCTTTGCCATTCTTGGTTTGGCGTTGGTTGCCTGCATGTGTCCATGCAATGAAAAGCAAATTCTTTCCTACTCTCCATAGGAGAGGAACTTCTCTGTGAGACCAGTCCTGAGATCACTGGCAAACTTTGGCTAGAGGTGGGCAAGGGATAGATCTAGCTGGCAAAACAGTGTTTCCTGCTTAATCAGTCTCCCCAGCTTTCACTCTCCAGTCTAAATAAACCAGCTAACCTGGCCAGTCTTGTGAGTGGTTGTATCCTCCACCAGCCTTTGAACCACTTCAGAGTAAAGATAAAAAGCAAAAGAAATGTGTTGATTAATTCCTGTATTTAATTTCTTAGCCATGTTGTGTGTAATTTACTTTGTGAATGCAGTGGATTTTTTTTTTATTTCCTTAGGCAAAAACATGTATGTCAGTTTTCCCCGTCTTTAGTATCCAAAGGAAAGTAGGCGGAGTTAAAGGCAGGCGGTCCTTCTGCTGGCCTATAGGAGGCGTTCTGAACATTTGTGAAACTGACATCTATTTCTATGCCTGGAAATACAAAAAAAAAATAAAAATAAAAAGTGTTTGTGAATTGTCTTCTAATTTGCATTACAAAATGAATGCAAATAACTACTACGCCGTCTGTGTTACCTTTAAGGTTTCAAAATCTATTTTGATTTGAAGCCTTTAAAAAAATTGTATAATTACCATAACAAAAAACATACCCGCCCCCCAAAAAGCCCAACCGTTTCTTTTTCCAGATAAAATTTCAGAGTTTCCTTTTTTGCCTGTCCTGATTACTCATTTTCTCTTTTGTTTTCTGTTTTGTTCCTTATTTTCCTTATCTACCTGCTGAATCACGCCATCCAATCAACATACAATGCGAAAACCATGTCTCCGTCTGTATGTTGTACACCTGCTGCTCAAAAAAAATTTGTAAATAATCTTGCAAATATTCATCCATGAAAACATCACATATAGGACACGGTTGGTTTCATTGAATTTAAACAATTATTTCAATTCTCTGCTTTTCTTTACTTATGGTTTTTTTCTTTAATTTTTTTTTCTTTTTAATTTTTGTTTGGATAAGATTGTACTGGTGAAAAGCCTCACTGTCTGTCTGCAGTGCACCTCAAAACGAGCTTCTATTTTGCATCTTCTTCTACGGGCTACTTGGTGACCTGAGGCAAACAGAGTTACCAATAGCCTCTTCTCTGCTGCTTGTTAGAACTGATAAAGACAAAGGGGAAACGACACTTGCTTTATTTTGCTGGACAATAAAATTAGAGCTGAAAAGAAAGCTCCATTACTTCAAATAAGGAATATTGTTTGGGTTGGAAACCCTACATTTTTGCAGGTGATAGAATCAGATTTAAAGTTCTAACCAACCAGTCTTTTATATTGAGTTATGCTGGGCTTTGTGAAAAGGAAAGCAGTTCACAAAGTATCAGATAGTTTGAAGCCACAGATTGAGTCATTTGTTTGCAAGACAAAGACTTTTATTAAAACGAATGTAAATGAAAATACTGATTTTGTTTGGCTTTGAACATCCTCTGCAAATCCAGCATAATTGTATTTTCCCACCATGTTCCTAGAAAGAAAAGATGCCTAGTAACAAAAGTGAAACTCTAAATAATGTAAATGAAGTTTGGATTATGAAAAGGTCTGAAGGGCATTATGCACCTAAATCCCATTGAAATCTAACGACAGATGTTCTCCTAATTTCCTATTCTGCCCTTGGAAATTTTAGCCCCGGTCTCTTTTACTTGCCCAAGATGCCTGAAATGCAACAAGCAAGCAAAACAATATAAATGACAAGAAAAATGCATTTGACTTTTACAGACTCTTCCAATTTTAATAAGCCCATATGGTGTCAGTTACAATGGTCAGGAAATGTGTTTATTGAAATGGCATGCTTGTTAGCCTGAGATTATCTCTTTTAATCTGTATTAGCTTTTACATCTAAAGTATCTGTTGCACAATTGCTGTTTTATTTAGAGATGAATTTAGCTTTAGCCTCAGTGCAAAAACACTTCCGTAACCAATTTACTGGAGGTTTACAGGTGGGAATATCTGATAGGAAATGATAGCAAAGAAAAACGCTGTGGAACACTCAAACCCTGCCTTTCTAAGATATTCAGAGTGAAACTGGAAAGGAGAGACCTGTATGTGCTTTACAGTAACTGAGTTGTTATAGCAGCGATGCTGTAAGGACAGAATTGTGCCCCTTATGCACCCACTAAACTCAATTTATTCTTCATTAACTTGGGATTTTTTCCACTGACTTCAAAGAAACCATTTTTTTTCTCAAGGTATAGTAACTCCTCTTATGTACTAATGGAGTTATGTGTATTTGCAGGAACTATTCTGAACTATTCTGTCTGCACATATAAAATGGTTCACATGCTCAGACATAGTTTCTCTGTTTACTTTTTCTCAGCAGATGAAATGTTGGTTCCTGACTGTAAAGAGCAGTAAAAATTTCCCCAAACATCCCAATCAGTTTGCTAGAACCAAAGGCCAAATTTTGTTGTCGTAACCAAATTTGTGAAGAAAAGCTTAAAAAATCTAAAGCTTAAAGTCCATTTTTCCTGTTTTGTTTCTTGGTCACAAAAAAAAAAAAAAATAAGAATCAGTAGCAAACTAACATAATTTTCAGTGACTTTGCCATTCAGTAAACATGCAATTTATGCAGATTTGATAATCCCTGGGGAAACCTATTCAGCTCTGGCATGAGGAATTGCAACTCAGATTTTGGATAACAGATTTTTTAATTGACCTGTGATTTTGTTAATGATGCAACAAACACACTAAAATACAGATTGGTGTTGCATATCTTTAAAGCCTCTGATGACACTGCCAGCAGCTTGTCTCAGCAAATGAAGTCAGTGCAGCACTGTAGATAATCGGAGGAACAGATCTGTCCAGTAGCAGGTGCCATATTTACTGTCACTTATAAGCTTTCTAAGTATGGGGAACATTAAACGATAGGAAGGGGTAAAAAGCTAATATTTAAAACTGGGACCTAAGGTACCAGTCAGTGTTCAGCATCTGTGCAACAGAAAAAAACAAAGCAAGAACGAAGGAAATAATCCAGAAGAATGACATTTATTGTTCATATAGAGTAGATCAGTGAAAGGAAAATCAATGCAAACTTTATTGAACCGAGAAATATTGCAATGTAGAGCTTCCCCTTTGATTGCATGCAATTCTAATAATGTCCTGGGCAGTCTTGTCATTGAGGGACCTGTTTTCTATGCAGTGAACTGGGATTTATGCATACAGTGCTCTTTCACTGCTCGTGAATAGTGTGAAGAACAATCCCTCAAAAGCTTTGTAAATGTTGAAGAGGTAGGATTACCCTGGGTTGCTAGCAGTCTCCATACTGGGTTACTCCTGTAACTGCAGTTTATGATATGATAACATACCTTGCAAGAGTAGGTGTTGGGACTAGTATTTTAAAGAAGATGAAAGCTGTTATCCAACCAACACAGTGAATTTAGGTGAAACTCTGGAATTTACCTCCTTTCAACATCTTTGAAAATTCCACTCTGGGCCATGTGCATGTTATGGGGATCTATTTTTTCTCACGTGTCCCTTTCATCAGTCAGATCTGGCTACCATTCATTGCTGTACAGTGTTTTCCCATATCTGGGAAAAACTTTTAGCTAACAGAAGGCTAAAAGCAGTTAGTATAGACTAAGATAGATGTTAAACATCATATCGGCTGACTGGTTATGAAGGAGTTATATCTATAAATGTTATCTATATTTCTGTTGCTAAGCCAATGCTGTAGCAAAACTTAGTTGTAAAATTTATAAACAGGAACCTGGTTCTGCAAATTCTTGCTGTGTGCAGATGGAGCTATTCCTAAGAGTAAAATTTGTCCTGTGCGCATGATTTTGCACTGCCTGACCCAGATGCTACCATGCAGCTAGTGGCAAGGATTTTTTTTTTGGTAATATCTTTTATTGGGCCAACTGTACAGTTAAGAGAGATGGTAGACAAGCTTTTGGGCACAAATTGCCTTTCTTTCAGTCTACCTGCTACATGTTCTATCAATGAGAATTAGGGGCCTGATTCTCTAGTACCATGAATCTTGTATAGTCAGACAAGGCCTAATGCACTAAGGTGGACTCTTTCTGATGGCTTCAGTGAGCTTCAGATCAGGCTCTTACACTTATATAAAGTACCGAGTGTCACTTTGCACAGGTGCAACAGACTACACATGCCCCAGGACAGTGGGGATTCAAGCCCTGTGCATTTAAACACCAGATTAAATCAGAAAATCAGGTATAGAGTTACACTGATGAAACTGCACTTAGAATCTGACTCCTAGTCCATGTACAACCTAGGCTGCTGAGCTGAGCTTAATTTATATTATGTGAAGGAAAAAATAACTTTCAGAAATGCATGGCTTAAAAAAAAATTGATTTTAAATTCTTAGCAGCTGTTTGCTAACCTTGAACAACCCAGGGGAATCCTTGCTTGTGTTTTGCCTGCCAGGAGCTGCCTTCTGTTACTGACTAGAAATAACTCAGTGTTGTCTGCTCTTTCATTGAACATCCCTATGCTTTTCTCTTTTCTCTTTATTTGAGGATTGAGTCTGATATCAAGTCTATGCCTAACTCTGAGCTGCTTGTGTTTTACAAACAAAGCAAACCGAGTGCATGCCTGGAACTGATCTCTTGAACTATTTGATGGTATTGGTGGAATGCAGCGCTAATGGCCTAATAATGAAGCTGGCATTTAAATAAGTTAATAGATAAAACGAGTGCCCCAAAACTCAGCATGAGCTATGCATCCAAATTAACTAGAAGTTTGGATCAACTTAATCTTAGCAGTTGTCTTGTAGTAAAAGATGATGGGGTGGGACAAGGAAAGACTCCTTTCATTCATCTTTACCTACAAGGCCTCTATGCTTGTGTCACCCCCTCCACTGCTTATGAAGTTAAAATACTTGGTGGGATTTCCTTTAGTTAACCCAGTCAAATTAATCATGGTGATTAAAATTTGACAATCAAGTGAATTTGGGTCAGTGCACGCAGGAGGAAATAGGAGGGCAGGAGGTCTCTGTCCTTTGCATGTTTTGTTTTGGAAGTAACCCCCTCTAGATTAGCTCATTGGATAACCCATTTTCTGTTGCTAAAAAAAAAGAGAGAGTATCTAGTAGAACAAATCCCATGGAAATCAGAATCTATCCTTGGCATTTCTTTGATCCCCCTTAAAAAGGAATATGTATGAATGATTTAAAAAATCAGCAGGTTCCTAAGGACAGCCCCCTGCTGTTCAACCTTCTCTCCATCAATTCTCCTATAAAAACCAGTCTTACTTCCAAACAAGGATGATCCCAGCTTGTTAAGCAGACATTTCTAAAACCCAGATTATAAAATATCCTTAATTTATAACGAAAGGTGCCTTAAAGTGCACTGGCTGATATCTTCCTTTGCCATGGAAGAGGCTAATGCTTCCTACTGTTATAGCCCTTCTTGGCTCGTCTTTGGTTCCCTCTAACAACAATAAAATAAGCTACCTCAAACTTCAAAACAAACCTTCAGCAAACTATAATATTTCATCAGCACTTGCTTGAACTGTTTGAGGAAACCTGCTTTATCCAAAGAAAAGAAGTTTTCCAAGAAAAGCGTGTAAGGGCTGTTTTCTTTTTACAGTTTACCCAATAGTAGAAGGGTGGGGCTCCTGTGGAGAGGGGTTTTCTCATACTTGCTGCATGTGGAGTGATCTGCACTGACGAATGTTTCTTTTGGAAGGTTTTCTGGTGGCCGATTTGCTGCTTAGATCATGAAGCTGGTAATTTTAATTTCTTTTTTGCGGGCTGTGGTTTCTCATCACGTTAATTTCTGAAGGACACAAAACCTTTACTTTCTGCAGGACAACTTTATCAACCTCAGCTTCCTGCGGCTCTTCAGGGCAGCAAGACTCATCAAGCTCCTTCGCCAAGGTTACACCATCCGCATTCTGCTCTGGACATTTGTGCAGTCTTTTAAGGTGAGTAGTCGCCAGCTGTAAGAATAGAGAGATGTGGGCTAATAGTCATAAAGCTTTGTAGTACTGTAGCATCTTCCCAGAGCCTTTCAGAGTGCTTTACGAATTCTTCAGGGGTGCTGGTTGTAGCTGTGTTGGTCTAAGGACATAGGCAGACGAGACTCTTTGGGTAAATATGATATCTTTTATTAGACTAACTCAATAGTTGGAAAAATTGTTCTTTGCAAGCTTTCAGGCACAAACACCCTTCTTCAGGCATTGGGAGAGTTTGTTGCTGTTTGAGTGTTTTCCCGGATGGAATAGAAGCAGTGGCGATGCATAGGGGGTGCATGTGCACCCCCTGAAAGCGCTGCTGCACCCCCTGATAGGTCATGCTCCCCGCTTAGGCAACGGGCGGGGGGGCAGTACCCCCCCCCCCCCCGAGAGCACTGGCCGGGGAGTGGGAGTGCCGGATGAAGCGCTGCGGCCACTTCTGGGAGTGCTGTGGCTGCTTCCCAGTCATTGAGGTTGTGCCCCCCCCGACTAAGGTGGCACCAGTCACCAATGAATAGGAGCCAATATGCAAAATGCAGGTCTGTGAAAATGCAAAGGCATGGCAGTAAGGATCAGAGGCCATGGGAGACATTAGGTATGAGACAGATAGGTGTGGGGGGGAAAGGTGGGAATGTAGACCTGGTGATAATATGTAGAGAGGTTGCCTGGGGTTATTGGATGGTAGGCAGGTTATAATGTGCCATAGATCCAATGTCTATAATCTCAAAATCTCAAAAGGGCTTTCACTCAACAAGGACACTCCTCCAGAGAGTTAGATCACACTTTTGAAAGACACGCCCCCCCGCCCCTCGTCCCCTGGATACCATGCAAAGAATTGCTGCAGTACAAAAAGAAAATCCCCACGAATTGCAGATCATTAGTTATGACATATCATCCCTCCCTGGAACCTATATGGAAAGTCCTCAAACAACTGCAACCCATACTAGAAGAAGACCCATTCTTAAAGAGATCTTCCCAGAACCACCCATCCTAACCTTCAAACAAGCATTGAACCTTGCTAACCTCATCACCAGAAGCAAACTTCCTATGGACCAAAGCGCACTGAATGGATCCAGACCATGCTGGGACAAAAAATATAAAACCTGCCAACACATCTCCACCACTCCCACAATAACTACACCCCACAACAGAACCATCAGCATTCCTGGATCTTATACCTGCAGCTCCAGAAACTGAATACATCTCATCCAGCTCGCTAACTGCCCTGATGAAAAATATGTTGGAGAAACCAAACAACAACCATGCACCTGAATGAATGCACACCGAAAATCTATCAAAGACAAAAATACCCAATTACCTGTGGGAGCACACGTCTCACACGACAGCCACTCTTTCTCCAATCTCTCAGCAATAATCCTCAAAGGGAATTTAGAAAACACCTGTCATAGACAAGCCTACGAACTTCACTTCCTAAATCTACTAGATAAAAAAAACCAATGAACTAAATCAAGATATTGGATTTATGGCACATAAGGTACCTCTACATGTCACCGCATGGTGACATTGCTATAGCACCATGCTTGAGTACTTCCAAAAGTCACTGTAGCAGTGCGCTCTAGCCAGGGAGCACATTACTACAGTGACGTAGCTGGCAGTCACGTATAGACATACAATCGGTACGTTGCCTTATCGCGCCATACAGTGACAGTGCATCACTCTGTCACCATAGGGTGAAGTGCAGATGCACCCATTATAACCTGCCTGTCATCCAATTAACCCCGGGTAACCTCTCTACATTTTACCAGGTACGTTCTATCACCAGGTCTATGTTCCTCCCTTTTCTCTCTACCCCCAACCTGTTTCACACCTATTGTCTCTCATTGCCCCTGATCCTCACTGCCATGCATTTGTATTTTCACAGACCTGCATTTTGCATATTGCAGGAGAACACAAAACAACAACAGACTCTCCCTATGCCTGAAGAAGGGTGCTTGTGCCTGGAAGCATGTAAAGAACAGTCTTATGGACTCTTGAGGATTGGGTGTCCCTTTGAGGTACCCATTTTATGGAAAGGATAATTTATATGAGCATATCATCTATAACCAGGTCCTTCAAAAGTAATGAACACTCCTAGAATACAGTAAAATTAGTGGATGTTGCAGGTGCCCAGTGCCTTACAAAATCAGCTACAAAGAGAATGAATTGCAGACAAAGCAGCATAACACAGGATTGCAAAATTCCAGTTGGCTGCTCTGATTTCATGAGAACTTCCTTTGAAAAAGCCCCATAAATTTATTTGGAGAAGAGTTGTGGGCAGGGAAGTGGGGAAGAAAAGAGGGAACTTTACTTGAAAGCTTATAGCATTTAGAAAATGGTACCATCTTTGTAGAGGTTTTTAATTATTATTATCATTCTGAATAAGAGATATCATTAACACAGATTGCCATTTTCTTTCAAACTCTATCAGGATACCTCTGTGTAGTCACGAGCACATCTGCATTAATATTTAGTACTTATTGACAAAGTATATTGTATTAGTGCTAAAAGCTCCCTCAGTTTTATGCCAGGCTCTGTATAAACACATAACAGAAAAGCAAGCCCTGCCTCAAAAAGCATAGGTTTTCCTTACATCCAGTCAGCTCAAATTGCTTTGCAAAGGAGAGCAAGACTCATTAGACACATTTTACAGTGGGGAAAATGAGACAAAAAGAGTTCAGGGGACTTGCTGAAGGCTACGCAGGGAGTTATCGGCAGAACTACTCAAAAGCTCACATCCACGTATGGCTAACTGTATCTCTTTCACTATGGACCAGATCTGTGATCTGGGTTGCATCAGTATGTGTGATGATCTGTGAATCTGTGTACCATATGTTAGGCTTTCAAATGTGTGCATCATTTCTCCGTAGGCTGAATATAATTTTATTTTGTATAGTTTCCTTTTATACAAACTGCCCTCCAAAATGCCTTAAAAAATCATTCAGCTATAAGAGCAGAGAGGAAGAGAGCTCAAAACACGTGAGCATGTTTTCCAGATGAGACTGGGAATGTCATGTACAAAGTGGTAGGATGATGCAGGAGACTGTGCCAAACAGCAGAAGCTTCAGAAAAGTTTCTTGCTTCAAATGTGCCACAGCAGCATAAGGGTCACAGCTAAGAGCATTGTTAGATGGCTTGGAGAAATTGAGAACAGGAGGAGCAGAGAGAGGATGGCTGCAGGAAAGTTGAAGCAAGAGCCTGTGGGTTTTAAAAGCGGGGCAATTAGGTGATAAGATCTTGAGTTACGCAAGGAGGCATCAGAGCCTTCAGAATACAGAGAATGGGGGTAATGTGACAGTGCTTCTTGGTGTGTGGGAAGAGGAGGGCAGCAGTATCACGTGCATGCTGTTGTCTGGAGAGCTGAGACTTGGGAAGTTCATTATAGGTGCGTTGCACTTAGTGTCCTTGGAAAGACTTATGGGCAGGCAGTCTGTGCTGTCCAGTATACTCTTAAATGTTACGTTCTCACCCAGCTATCAAACTGTGTGACTAAGGGGACCTTTCTTATGATTAAAAAAAATAAATAAACACCCTGTGACAGCTGTTTGATTGCCCTTTTCTTAAGGATTCAGTTTAGGAGTTGGGGGAGACCATTGTAATCCTATCATTGCTTCATTAGACAGCAGAAAAGTAACAAAGAATTACCAGTACTTCCCAGATTCAGACTGTGCCTCACCAAAAAAGAAACCAGTGCCCACAGAAAGGTAGCGGGGATGTTCTTTTAAGGAAAGTACACAAGTGAGAATCAAAGGTCATGGTATTGCTTCTATCACAGACTGCATAATCCTGGATGAGTCAGGTGGGGCCTGATCCTGAGAATCAGAGTTTCTCGAGTTAAACACTGTATGTGGGTTTTCCAGAGAGCTGGATAACTGCAAGATCATTAATAACAGCTGTAATGATGCAAAACAAAGTAAAGTGATCCAAAAATATTGAGGGGTTGAGAGAGAGAGAGAGAGAGAGAGTCTGTAAGGAAGAGCTGCATCTGACTTAAAATAGAACTGTATCCAAAATTTAGTCTGAGCTACAGAATAAACCAGTATGTATACTGCCGCCTAATAATACAGCGTGCTGCTAATAATGTGAGCATCTGAGTGTCTCAGCAAGACTTGAAGCTATTAATGAATGCAGCCTCCCAATTCCAATCTGTGACAGGTAATTATTGCTGTCATTTGGCCCAAGTGGTTAGTTGATTTACACAGTCTTCTAGGTTGCATCTTTATGGAAGAGAAAATGATGAGGGAGTCAAGTACTTCGATGATGGAGGCAGGTACTTCTTTAGTGCACTCCTGCTTATTTATAAAGCATGTTCATAAAATCTCATTTGCTTTGTTCCAGTGACAACCAAACAGCAGAAGACAGTTTTGTTGTTCACTGTTACAAGCCTCTTTCCAGTCAGCCCTCTACACAAGCTCATTCTCATAGCTCTTCTCGAGGTTACATTTACAAGTGTTTCTCTGACTGTCCCTCGAGCTTCCTTACTGCTGCCTTAGGCCTGGTCACCCCTTACCTTGTTCAGCTGCGGTACCTCAGAATTAATACTGTTTCTCAATAGATGCTCTTGCTGTCATTAATATGAACCTTGCTGGTTTTTCTACAGGCATTGCCTTATGTGTGTCTCCTCATTGCGATGCTCTTCTTCATCTATGCCATTATTGGCATGCAGGTAAAGTTTGGACTTCAGTCTTGAACATGAGAACATAGGATTTGCTATGCAGAACAAATTGGATTAGATACTGGGAGAGCCACCTTACAGTAGTGAACCTCTGCTTGGTGTTTTAGTTTGGGGGAAGGAGTTTTTTTCATTAACTCAGTTCCAGAATAGAAGAGGTGCCACGAAGGCAAAATGCCACCTTTCTATCCCCATCCCCACATCTTGTGCTAACAGAAGACAGATATACCAATACATTCACCCTGGGCATGCTAAATGAGTGTTACTTGCATCTCTCTCATTTCTTGGGGACTAATCTTAGCCTGGGCATATAGCAGCTGTAACTCTTTTTGCAATCAGTGAAAGTCACACCTGCCTATGGTAGTGGTGGTGGTCTGGATATCAGTGAAGCAGGTTGTCCTGTATTCTCATGTTTGATAATTTTTTCTTTCACACTACCTTCTGCCTCTTCCTCCCCACAAGTTACTCCTATTTTGCATATCTTGCATTTTGCAAGATACAGTGTCACTCTCTCCCCATAACATAAGAATGTAAGAAGTGCCATACTGGGTCAGATTAATGGTCCATCTAGCCCAGTCTCCCATCTCTGACATTGGCAGAAGTGGATGCTAGAGGGAGAATATTAAACTGGATAGATTTAGAGTGATCTATCCCCTATTCAATACCCTCCTTGGCAGCCACCATTATTCATTTACAGATGCCAGGGGAAACATCTCCAGTCATTCCATTCAATAGCTATTAATAGACTGTAGTAGCATACCCAGGTTCAAAAAGGGACTAGACAATCTCCATTTACCACCTCCAGTGGCAGTGAATTCCATATGTTAACTATGTATTGCATAAAAAGTACTTTCCCTTGTTAGTTTTAAACCTGTCTCCTACTAATTTCAGTGGGTGTCCCTACTTCTAGTATTCGGAGACTTGGTGAACAACAATTTCCTGTTCATTTGGTCCACACCCTTCATGATTTTATAAACCTCTATTTATCTCTCCTCAGCCTTCTCCTTTCTAAACTAAAGAGTCCTAGCATTTTTACTGTCTTCCAGTATGGCAACTTCTTCATACCCCTGATCATTTTTGTATTTTTTCTAATTCTACTACATCCTTTTTGAAACGTGGAGACCAGAACTGCACAATGTATTTGAGATGGAGGTGCCATGGATTTGTAAAATGACATGATGATGATCTCTGTTTTGTTTTCTATTCCCTTCTTAATGATGCCCAACATTTAATGGCTTTTTTTTTGGTTGCCTCTGCACATTGTGCTGATGTTTTTAGAAAGCTATCTACAATGACTCTAGGGTCTCTTTCCTGAGTTGTAACAGCTAGTTCAGAACCCAACATATAGTTGAGGTAATTTTTTCCCAGGTGCTTGACCTTGTTCTTGTCAACACTGAAATTCATCTGCCTTTTTTTTTTTTTTTTTGCTCCTCGCTTTGGTTGGTGAGGTCTTTCTGCTGCTTCTCTCCATCAGTTTGGAATTGGACTACCCAGAATAATTTGGTATCGTCTGCAAACTTGGAGATTTCACTGTGTGCCCTTATTTCCCGGTCACTGATGAAAATGTTGAACAAAATTAGGCCCAACACAGATCCCTGTGGAACACCACATTTGACCTCCCTCCAGCCTCAAAAGTGATCATTTAGCCTCACCCGTTTCTTCCTACCTTTTAATTAGTCCATGAACAAAACTTCCCTCCAATCCTGCAGCACTGATTTTTTTTTTTAAAGCCTTTGGTGAAGGACCTTGTCAAAAGCTTTTTGAAAGTCCGAATATATTATGTTAACTGGATCCCCCTTGGCCACATCAGCTTTATGACCAGTTACACCAGTTTGTCACATTTCTCATGGCTTACATCATTATTGACTCTGGCTCAGAGATTCCTATGGAAACTTCCTCCAGACTGTAACTGGCCTTAATTGCTTTTGTTTTCTTTTTCAGGTATTTGGAAACATTGCACTAGATGATGATTCCTCAATTAATCGACACAATAACTTCAGAACGTTCTTGCAAGCCCTGATGCTACTGTTCAGGTAAATAAAATACAAAATAAAAAGGTTTAGGTTTTCAATACAGATAATTAAGCTGCTGTATTCTCCGTTCGGTAGAGCATGCAACTTTCAAAACTTCCACTTTCTGCTCTTTTTATTCCTGGGCAATTCCACTAGAAATATATCTGCCAAACGTTGAAAGCAAATTGTTTCTGTTTCCTTCCAGCTGTGTTCATAATACTTAAATTTTGCTTTTATGTTATGTTTGCACCATGACTGACTTAAATTTTAACCTTTCAAAGCTATACCTTGTTCAGAACGTGTCTATTTTCATATAGGCTCAGTTTCATTTGAAAAGCAGCGTGTTTTCATGTGAAAAGTTAGTGAAATATAGCATTCTTTCCCACCAAACATGAAGCAATTTTCATGGATCTAACAAAATAACCAAAAAACGCTCCAGAGTCGATAGTTTGTGTCCATTTCACTTATACATGTATGTGTGCGCGCGCTATGTGCACACCAAATGGTTAATATTTACATAACAGTACTTCTAGCACCAGTGTCATGGCTACAGTCAACAAGTGAAATTATATTGTAATGATGTCATGCTTGTAACTCAATAGTCTATTGGGGGTTTTGATTAGCATAATTTCTATGCAGCCAGATAATGAAATTAGCTTTCTCCAGTTCACTCATGCAATTTAAAATAATAAATTGAAATTAATCCTTTCATCTTAACAAAATCAGTTTTTTCAATCTTGTTCCTGGACCTTTTTGTCCAAGTTCTGGTTCACGGCTCGTGATATAGCCCACTTTTCACCGCAGCGACACTGCAGAAGGTTACAGAGCCAGTTTAACCAGCTACTTGAGGATCCTTCCAGCATACGGTGAATTTCTGGGTAGTAAAGCCTTTGTCTGGTGATCACCAGTCATTGTGTCTCGCATAACTTATTAGAACCTCAAGGCTGATCTAATTTGCATTTAGGTCCCAAAACCGCTTTAGAGAAAAGACCAAGACACATGAGTGGAGTACTGAGTTGGAAGTTTTCCATGAGAATACATCAACGCTCAGGCATCTTTATCCATTACTTTCCCCCTTCATTGATATTTATTAGAATTTGTAATACCTAAGTGGAAAAACAAATCGAAGAGTAAAGATGTTCAGACTTTTCCAGTGAGCTTAAGTCATCATAGTATCATAGTAGCTAGGGTCAGGAGGGACCTGAACAGATCATCTAGCCCGACCCCCTGCCACAGACAGGAATGAATGCTGGGTTCACAAGACCCCAGACAGGTGATCGTCCAACCTCCTCTTGAATATGCCCAAGGTAGGGGCGAGGACCACTTCCCTGGGAAGTTGGTTCCAGATTTTGGCCACCCTAACTGTAAAATATTGCCTTCTGATTTCTAACCTAAACCTATTCTCCAACACCTTATGACCATTGTTCCTCGTCACCCGAGGTGGTGCTAGGGAGAAAAGAGCTCTGCCTATTTGCTGTTGATCTCCCCTGATGAGTTTGTAGGCAGCCACCAGGTGCCCCCTCAGCCTCCTCTTGCTGAGGCTGAACAGGTTCAGGTCCCTCAGTCTCTCCTTGTAGGGCCTGTCCTGCTGCCGTCTCACCAAGTGGGTGGCCCTCCTCTGAACCCTCTCCAGGCTGGCCACATCCCTTTTGAAGTGCGGCGCCCAGTACTGGATGCAGTACTCCAACTGCGGCCTGACCAAAGTCGCATAGAGGGGGAGGATCACCTCTCTGGACCGGCTTGAGATGCACCTTTGGATGCATGACAAGGTATGGCTGGCCTTGCTGGCTGCGGTCTGGCATTGGCGGCTCATGTTCATCTTCACTTATTAAGTCATGGTATTAGCAATATTTTATGAACACTTCACAGTCACTTTCCATGGGTGAAGACATTTATACAATGGGTAGAGGTATCCGAGACTTAAGCTCCTTCCATAAGTTACGGGCCTGATACAGAAATTATTGAACAAATATTTCTGGCCTGTGTTAGGCAAGAAGGCAGAGTAGATAATAACAATGGCCCCATCTAGCTTTAAAACCCATTAATCTGTGAATTATGGAGTTTCAGAATCTCGTTCATTTTATAAAAGAAGGTTCAGAGGAGGCAAACAGTGACTGCACTAAGAGCAAAAGCACATTAACTGAATCCTTCTGGAACTCAGTGTGCTTGTATGCTTGTGTTTATATGTATGTATGTGTGCACGTGTGGGTTTATGTTGTCCCTTACTTGCTTGGGCTTCTTTTAGTTTTGTTCCCCTAGAATCAAACATGGCAGCTGGATTCACTCTGGGAACGTATAAACTTATTCTTACATCTTACTGAAGGAACTGCTGTCATGCGTAAAATGAGAAGAGGGAGAGGAGGTGGGAACAGATTAAAGAACAACCCAGGAGACTGTCATAAAAAATGTATCTGTGTCAGAGTAATCGACCACAGCATTCAGATGCTTTTGCATCTGCTTGAAATGATGGATTGAGATAGAAGAGTCTACTTTTGTTTCACTTTCTCTCCATTGGGTTTCCAGCTACCATCAAGGCAGAGCTGTTTGGGATTTTTTTTTTCACTTGTTTGATTACATTTGTCCTTTGTACATGACTTATTTAAATGAATTGGTCTTGCTTTTCAGAAACAGAATAAGTTTACCCTGTCTGAGCTGTTAGGTTTATTTTGATTCCCAATGACATGAAAGAAAGTTTTCCTTTGCTTTTTCTTTCCTTTTCCAAAGTTGCCAATGAAGCAGATACAGTACATACCAGTAGAGGCTTCTAATTCATGTTAACACTATTCCCTTCTACAGAGCCTTCCATCAAAGAATTACAAGTATTTGATATATGTTCAATAAGCCACCTGGTGCTCCATGCTTTGAGTCTAACCAAGGGTGCCTGGAGTTCAAATAGGTTGAGAACCACTGAATTACAGAAAAAGGTATTTAGCTGTCTGACAGTATACCTTGCAAACAAGGAATGTGGTTATCTAGGCAAGCTTAAAGGAACTTTATGAAGAGGTAGTAAGTAATGCATTTTTTTACTCCTGTACACAAGCAGGCAATGGAAGGAGGAGTTTGTGTGTAACAGAATCTGGTAACACTATTCAAACTAGAACTTAAATGGTTAGATAGGGTCTGTACTGTTGCTTTGACATGCTACCCAGTGAAAGGGCACTCAGTGGTCTGATTAGCTTCGATCGTGTATTCTGCTGGGGTCAAAACTACTCACTCACCCTTTCACTGTAACTTTGTCCCCACCTGCAGGAGTGCTACAGGGGAAGGCTGGCATGAGATCATGTTGTCATGCCTCAGTAACAGAGCCTGTGATCCACGATCTGGCCTCACCAAAGATGAATGTGGAAGTGACTTTGCCTATTTTTACTTTGTCTCTTTCATCTTCCTCTGCTCCTTTCTGGTAAGTCAATCCCACCCTTTTATTTCCTTCCACATTAGCAAGCTGCAGGCTTTATATCAGTCCTCCCTAACTCCACTGGTTCCCTTCCCACTTAACACAGAGCAGGTCCCTCTTGCCCTCTCTGTATCCTTGTTTCCTGCTGCTCTCTAATTATGATTTATACAACATTAGAAGACAATTCCATTAAAAAGCATTTATTATCATAGTGATAAAACCCCTGTAATACCCAAAGAGATAATTTAGTAATTAGTTTAATGTGAAGGTCTTCATCTTTCTCCCGGTGGGGGGTCTCATTTTTGGAATTAAACATTAATCTGTTTTGTCTCAACTCATAACAGGGTCTTTTGAAGAATGGGATTGGGAATGGGGAGGGGCTCAGAGCAGAAGGGACACTATTGATTCTGAATTGCTTTAAGAAACATTCTGGAAAGTGCTGTGTTGGTTTGATGGTTTTGACTGCTACTTTATTCATTCTTTTTTTTTTTATAAATAAAATGTCCATAATTATCCAGTGATGACAGTCGGGAAATCTTCAGGCACAAAAGTGAAAAGAACTCACGGATCTACTGTACTTGATTCAGGTCATAGTTTTTGAGGCAGGACTAAAAATGATCTTTTAACTAGTGCTACCACGTTTTGCAGAACCCTTTTCATTCTTGGGGCCTGTTTCCCCATTCTGGGACACAGGAGAACTTGGTAAAAAAAAAAAAAATGAATAAACACAGAAACTGAAGGAATAAAAATCACAGCTTTGAACTTTACTAGAACCAAATGCGTTGTCCCCTACATATGACTCCTGACTGTATTCTGGAACACAGAAATGAGTTTCCTGTAAGTTAAGATCTGTTTATGAGTCAGAATTCCTAAATATAGTTAATCCCTGCTACCCACAGAAATATCCTTATGGGAAAATTAACTTCAAATGGCAGAGGGACATACCACCTCAGAGAAATGGTCACCATTGGGCCCCTTGCCCAGCTGGCACCCTCTTCATGACATATGGCATATGACACCTTCCTGCAAGTATTAAAATTCTTAGAACCCTGCAAATTTATAAAAAGTTATGGCTCCATTTACAGATTCCTTTAGAACTCCAGTGCTTTAAAGCACAAATCTTTCCTTATACAAATCCCTAATGTAGCATTAGACAGTCTCTGTGTTATTTTAAAGTCCATTAACTTTCTTACAGTTTCTTTTTTTTCCCCCCTAATGAAAAAAAAAAATCTTGCCAAATCACATTTACTTCCACACCCAAAGAAGAGTAGCAAAACTGGGGGCTGTTGCACATCTGTGCAATATGCAGCCCTGCATGAATTTATTCTTTGAGTCAATGCTCCCAGGAGCATTACGGGACTATACCCTTAGTTCATTGGCAGGGAATGCAAAGAGCCCACAAGGGAGACCAAAGCACTCCAAAAATAGAATGTGAAAAGCAAAGCAGCTGGAGTGTTACTGGACAGACCTGTAACTCTCTGGAGCCATAACTTTTTAAAATGCATTTGGCACTTCATTGCAATAAAACATGTGGTTCCCCACAAATGATTAAATCATTCTAGAGCAGCAGGCTTGCCAGCAGGGTGTGGGTTTATGATTTGTTAGATCTTGTTACATCATAGATTTGGGGAAAATTATGTAACTTATTTGTTTTTCATGTTGTTTTAGATTCTTTATAGGTGTCCAGTCTGACATCATATTCCCTCTTTAATTTACACCCTTTTATGAATGGAATGAAAAAAATGTGGCCACTTTAGAAGCTGCTATATAGCAGGCAAATAAAACCTGTATAGGTCCAGGCTGCCATTTGGAGGGATGCAGAACACCCAGGTGGGACAAAAACGTCTCAGAGTTTCCCCGTGTACAGAGGGATTTTAGCTGCTGACTCAGAAATCCCGTCACAGAACTTCAGAGCATAGGACAGAGGAAAACTGAATTCTGTTCTTGGCATTATTATTGAGTAAAGTCACTTCACCCTTCTCTGCCTCAGTTTTCCCACCTATAAAATGGTGTTAGTGAGGCCATTTAGTGAGTTCTTTGAGGTACCTACCTGGATGAAGTTTGAATTCATATTAAAATTGTACATTAGCATGGTAGTAAATTAGAGTTTCTAGTTGTCTTTATTAGTGGCTCTTGAATTAATGGCAATAACACATCATATGCACAAACAACCACCAAAATCCATACCCCTCACCCAGCCAAGAATACCGAGTAGACTCCAAATCCTTTTAAATTACACAAATGCAAACCCCAAACTTAATTGTCTGATTTCATTTTAATGACTTGCAGATGCTGCTCAGCTGGAGACCACTAAATTCAGTTTAATTTTGTTGATCACAGCCAGTGAACTTGCAAACTGCTCCTCTGCAGTGTTTTGTTTTCTCAATGTAATGCCAATAGGCAGCACCCACATCCGAACATCAACACCGCTCTGTGAACAGAGCAGAAATACAGAATGCTGCTCTGTGCCAGTCAGGTCATTATCCAGCACAGGGGCATCAGCTTCATCTTCTCCATGAGGGACTAACATGTTCTTACCTCCCTTTGTGACCTCCTTATTATAGGATGACCTTCCTATTCCTGTTGCAGCCTGACTCATTCCCACTGAAGTATGGTTGGAGTGCTGTAGCCATGAGGGTCC